GGTTGGGACCACATGCCATCATGAATCTTCTCCCCAAGTATATTCTATGGGAAAGTAACAGTATCTAGTCAAACCCATCATTCCCTCTGAAGCTGATCTGACATCGATGGCTATCCAAGAGAATGGGTCAGTCAGCCCGTCCCAGCCACCTTGGAAAGGAGGACATGGAGGTCAAGGGCTTCTTGGAGCCCAGTGGCTTTCTGCCTGATTTTATCGATATGGGGTTGTATTTCCCAGGAGGAGTTAATACAGGTGTCATAAGTGATGTCGGCCATCATAGACTCTGCCTTAGTTAGCAAGCTGTCAGGGAATCAGTAAGAGACATTTCTACAAAAACAAAAGAAAACACAGGTCAATGGTCAGGGCAAATTTTGAGTCCCTGGTGCTGCCAGTGAGGAGATTTTTTTAAAAGATTTTATATATGTCTTTATTCGACAGAGAGAGAGAGAGAGTGTGTCCAAGCATGGGGAGCAGCGGGCAGAGGGAGAGCGAGAAGCAGGCTCCCCGCTGAGCAGGGAACCCGATGCGGGACTGGATCCCAGGACTCTGGAATCATGACCTGAGCCAAAGGCAGAGGCTTTAACCCACTGAGCCACCCAGGCGCGCCTTAACCAGCTTGTTCTTAATGATTACCCACGAGGGAGCATCCAGCTCTTGAGTTCGGCTCAGGTCATGATCTCAGGGTCATGAGACTGAGCCAAGCCTTGGGTCATCGGGCCCCGGGCTTGGCAGGGAGTCTGCTTCTCTCCCACTCCCTCTGCCCCTCCACCATTCTCTCTTGCAGGTGCGCTCTTTCTGTCTCTAAAATCAATCAACCAATCAGTCCCCGGTATGCTCTCTGTCGGTTTCTAAAATCAATCAACCAGTCAATCCATCTTTGAAAAAAGAATAATTACCCATGAATACTTCCTGAGGCGGACAGAATCACCCGTCAAGTCCTCTTTGCCGAGAAGTTGCGACAGAGATAACAGAGCTCCTTTGGCCCCTGGTACATGTTGGTAGAGTAGAAGATTTGTTTAATGTCGGTATCTCCAAAGAAGTGCTTATTTGAATTAAACCAACAACTTTGAATTAGCTTTACTGTATATTGCACCCGTGTCCACTGAAAGCTAATCAGTTTGTCCCCCGTTGTCAGCTGTATGTGGGGCTCCCGGGGGGACATCTGAAGCGGGCGGTTTAAGTCCAGGGAGCCCGTGGGCCCCTGCACACTGATGTGAGACGTGCTTCCGCGTGACCCTCATAAGCAGTTTGCCCCGCAGCCTGGGGTGCTTCTGGGTACCTTGATAGTGAGGGTGGGAGGAGCAGGGGCCGGAGGCACAGGCCGCAGAGGTACAGCGGGCAAGGCCAGAGGCAGATTGGAAGTTGTGGGCTAACTTTTTCTTTCTGTGTCCTGGCTTTTCCTCTTGCAAAACAGGCATTTTCTCTGGGTGCTTTCCAGCCTCCTGGAGGATGCGGAGAAGTGGGGAATAGGCTAGAAACTGGGGCTGGGCTTGGAGACCTGCGGTGACTATAGGGCTGCTGGCGTCTGCCTGCCTTCCTCCTCCTTTGTCTCATTATTCTGTTACGGAGGGGGTCAGGTGTCTTAAATTTGTGTCCATCTTTATCTCTTTGGACCATCCACTGCGTCCCTTCCTGCGAGGTGTCTTCGTCGGAACGTAGGGACAGTCACCGCCCATCATACGAACTTGAAACAATAGTTGAGTTTGTTTTCACTTTTTGAGCTTTAGAATGCCCCGTTTCCTTTTTTTTTTTTTTTTAAGATTTTATTTATTTGACAGAGAGAGAGAGAGAGAGATCACAGGCAGGCAGAGAGAGAGGGGGAAGCAGGCTCCCTGCTGAGCAGAGAGACCGGCGTGGGGCTCGATCCCAGGACCCTGGGATCATGACCTGAGCTGAAGGCAGAGGCTTTAACCCACTGAGCCACCCAGGCGTGCCCACCCCCCTTTTTAAAAATGATTTTATTTATTTATTTGATGGAGAGAGAGATCACAAGGAGGCAGAGCAGCAGGCAGAGAGAGAGGGGGGAAGCAGGCTCCCTGCTGAGCAGAGAGACCGACGTGGGGCTCGATCCCAGGACCCTGGGATCATGACCTGAGCTGAAGTCAGAGGCTTTAACCCACTGAGCCACCCAGGCGCGCCCACCCCCCTTTTTAAAAAAGATTTTATTTATTTATTTGATGGAGAGAGAGATCACAAGGAGGCAGAGCAGCAGGCAGAGAGAGAAGGGGAAGCAGGCTCCCTGCTGAGCAGAGAGCCCGATGCGGGGCTCCATCCCAGGACCCTGAAACCATGACCTGAGCCGAAGGCAGAGGCTTAACCGACTGAGCCACCCTGGTGCCCCTAGAATGCCCAGTTTCTATAAGCACTTGCCTCTAAACCAGTTAAACAGAGCTCCCTACAAATTAGTTTGAGCAGTACCACCTGGCAGGAGAGAAAAGCTCTCACCTGTATGTCACAGGTGGACCCGTGTACACGAACAGGGTGCCGACGGGATTTAGTCTTTGTTTCACCAATATTTATACAGAGGACATTAAAGACCCAACTTCCAGATACCCCCTTTTATTGAAACGAATCTCATTGTAAGACAGTCTCGTAATTTATTATGATTCCTTGAGTGAGTGAGTTCCAGTTAGGACAGGGCCAGTTTTGCGCCAAGATAACAGACGCTACAAAGGAAGAAACCGAGAGAGGCCCAGAGTACCTCTAGGTGGCGCTGGTTCCCCCCAGAGGCGGGGGCAGGGGTGGGAGTGCTCCCTCGTTTCTGGTTGCTTGGTCTCCTAGCCCACTTCCCCTAACTGTGTGCACAAGAAACTAATTCGGACATGTTAAGAGCCCCCATTTGGCCACCTGAGACTCTGGTTATCCTTAGGTTTCCCCCGTTAAGTAAGGCCTCACACGTGTTCCTTAGAAATGATCTCCCAGAGCTTTCTCTCGGTGCTTACTGGTTTTGGGGGGACTGTGTCCTCCTTTGAAGCCCGGGTCCCCAGTCCTTTTAGTTTCAGCTTCGGTTTTAGACTAAGGCTTAGATAAGCTCTAAGGACAGTAAGTGTGGCGGACCAGGAGGATGCTACTTACAAGGATCCCTTCCAAAAACAGCCATGGGACACCCTCTTATGCATCTCGGTTTCTCCCAGCGAGGTCTAAGACCACCGAGGGAGCTCGGAGTGCTGGGCGGTTGGTCCTTCCATGTGCATTCCCGGTGTGCAGCCCCAGACAAGCCGATCGCTCATGACCTTAGGAGGTGGAAATGCCAACGGGACCACTACGGGTCTTGAGAAGGAGCCTCAGCCGCTTCCTCGGGCCTTTCGATCACCTGAAAGCGATGTTTGGCCAGAAGGAGCCAGTGTCCCTTCTCTTCGGAGCCGAGCAATTCAGTCTCTCGTATTTCTAGCCAGAAAACGGACTCAAGCCTTATATTAATAACATCGGTTAGCATAATGCCAAATTAAGACCACCAACCCATCCATCCCCTCCTCTAGGTGATTCCCGCCTTGAGAACATAACCAGTAACCTTTAACAGCTCGTAAATAAAAGTCAGGACGGCCAGCCCAAATCGAGGAGGTCTGGACATCATCAGGAGAACTCACCAGACAGACGGTGGGGCTTGGAGGGCCCGAGCTGGTACCGACCACAGAGGTGACCCCCAGCTGTTCTCCACCAGTGGCTCTGAGATCCCGCCTATACTGCCAAGAACTGTTGACACAAAATGAACAAACAGAGACTTTTTCTTTGAGGTCATTTGCTAAGAAAGCCGGTGTACAGTGCATGCTCAGGGTGGAAAGAGAGCCCATGCTTTGAAGTTCGGCGAAGTCATTTTGACCTTGGTGGAAGGAAGTAGAGCTTCCTCGGGAGCCCAGGGTAGGGGTGGGGGGTGTGGATGAACATTCAAAGTTGAAAATTACCTTCATCATTGTTTTCTTTTCAACCAAAGGGAAGCTCTTGGAGGGTTTTAACTGGAGAGTAAGGAGGTGGGTCCGAACTTCTGGAATTTGCATTGGCACTGGCTGCAGTGTGGGCCCCCGGGTCCAGGCCAGGGTCAGGGGGCCAAGGGCACATGCTGTTTGGCTTTTTGCTCTCTTGCTGCTATTGGCCGAAGGTTTTGAAGGGACCACCAGGACTTGGTGGGACAGGACTGCAGCCAGGAAGCCCGAAAAGTATGCATTCCTTTGGGAAAATGCCAACAGTGTTCGGCATTTGGTTTTTTCCCCTGAGGGTTCTTAGTCTGAGGGGCAAATATCCCCATTGTAAAAAGAGGGAGGGCTAATTTCTAGAAAACACGTTTGGAGCTAATTGTCTCCTGTGTGATCATTCTCTCTCATCGCAAGCACACCTGTTAGTGAGCGCCCAGCCTGGGGCAGTGCGGGAAGGTGGAGGGTGGGGTGGGGCGGTTACAGGGTGGAGAAGGTCATTCTGGACCTAACGTGGCTCAGAGGCCCGAGACAGGAGGGTGACAGGGTGGTGGCAGCCTGAGTGGGAGCTGTGAGGGGGTCTGGGGGGAAAGACCCCATGGGCACGCTGAGCAGCAGTTGGTGAAGGCAAAGGTTTCGAAAGGTTCTGGAAGGGGGACAGGAGGCCAGGTGGGGCTGGAGTCAGGAGTTGGAAACAAAAGCAGGGGCTTTGGGCATGGAAAACGCCTTGGTGCCCCTAAGGAGGAAGGTGTTTCTCTGCTCTCCTGCAGAGCGGGTGTTTCCCAAAGTTTAGCCATGGGATGCTTCCTGGGGCCTGAAGATCAGGTGACCACGTTAAGGTTCTCAGACACAGCTGCTCTGCCAGATAGGGAAACCACCATCCTCCTGCACTGTTCTCTCCGGTGGCGGGCGGCACCTGTGTGGGCCACACCAGTCCATGCCAGGTGGCAGTGGCTGAGCTCCGCTGCTCCAGCTCGGCCCCAAGAAGAGACCAGTCCAGGCTGAAGAAGGGCACTCTGGCCAGAAGGGCCCCGGGTCCTCAGGGAAGCCCTGTGGCAGCTCTGAGGCCCCGTCTTTGTGCTTCCGTTCCAGGCCTAATGCTGAACAGAGACCGGAGGATAGCTTTGGTGAGTGCTGCTTTTTCTTTTGTTGTTGTGGGACATTATACATAGCATAATAGTTACCATTTTAAAATCATTCGTTAAGTGTCCAATTCAGTGACTCAATCCATTCGCAATGTTGTACAACCGTCGTTGCCCCCACATTTTTCATCATCCTCCATAAAAACCCCGTACCCACTGAATACCGGGTCCCCATCCTCCCGCAGCCCCTGGTGGCCACCGTTCTGTCTTCTGTCTGTGAGCTTGGCTGCTCTGGGGTCTTCATGTCACTTAGAGAAGGTCTTCAAGGCTCGTCCATGTCTCAGCAGGGTTCCCGAAGTTCCCTCCTTTTATGACGGAATAATATTCCATTTGTGTGGATCTGTCCATCCGTCCATAGAGAGACCCTTGGGTTGTTTCCTCCTTTTGGTTATTGTGAATCCTGCTGTGACCATGAGTGACGAATATCAGTTCAAGTCCTGGCTTTCAGTGTTTCTGGACACACACCTAGGAGCGGAATTGCTGGATCGCGTGAGGATCCTACGCTGAACCTTTCGAGAAACGGCCAGACTGTTTTCGCACGGCCGCAGCATCGCTGTCACTCCCAGCAATGCACGAGGGTTCTAGTTTCTGCATCTCCTCACCAACACTTGTGTTTTCTAGTTTCTGAAATTTTAGCCACCCTCGTGGGTGTGAGGTGGTGTGCAGCCGCTTTCCAGTCATGGGTCTCTGCAGGGCAAGGGCTGAGGGCAAGGGAGAGGGTCCCTTGCCCCGCGGAGTCCCGAGGGGAAGATGTCTCCCCAGCAGGGCTGGCAGGTGTGAGGGGTGTGCTCCGGTCTGCCCTGCACCTGGTTGGGGGAGGTTATTGCCAGCAGGGGGCGCTCATTCTGCTTCTCATTCTTCCACGTGCCTCACCTGTGTGTGGGGGAGTCATTGTCACTGCAGGCCTGGAGGAGGGAACTGCTGCCACCCACACTTCCAGGCGGGGAAACGAAGTCAGCCGAACCACCCGCCCACAGTCAAGCAGCACCATCGGTGGGGGCTTCCCACCCACAAACAACCGAGCACACAAACCATTACCGACACACAGCTGCCCACTGAGCCAGTGGTGAGCGCCGAGGCCCACTGCCTAGGGCAGACTTGCAGGCCTGTCTGTGTGTTTGCACAACTGGGTAGGAAGACACCAACGTATTTTAGGGCTCTTGGGTTTTGGTGTTTGTTTAGGTTCTCAGGGAAATGACTGTAATTGTTTACCTTTCATGGGTTACCTGCGTGGGAGTGCAGGGAAGGCCTGCCAGCGGCAGGCGGGAGGGATGGGTGTGGACGGCAGGTGTGCCTGGAGGAGGTGGGATGTGTGCTGGGCTCAGGGTGGTGGGTCGATGTGGGTGGAGAAGGGAAAGACTTTCCAGGTCCGTGCTGCTGCACAGAGGCTTGGCATCTGCTCAGTGCATGTGCTGAGTTGGGGTTCCTGATGGAGGGTCTGAAGACCAGAAGGAGAGAGAGGGGCCGGTGTGGAGCTGTGTGAGCTCTTGCAGAAACAGCCCCAGAGGCTGTGTGACCTCGGGCAAGCCACTTACCCGCTCTGTGCCTCAGGTTGTCTTATGCGCAGAAAGGAAGTACGTTCCTTTGTTGTTCATCCGTGCAGTTGGCTAATGAGCAGCCAGGAGGTACCAGCCCCCATGCCCGTCTTTGTGGGGTTGCTGCGAAGACGAGCGAAGGTCCATGGGTCGAGTGCCCTAGCGAGGTGCTCTCATGTTAGGGGCGCTCAGGTGGTGCTCTTAATGAGCTGGTTCAAGAGGGTAAGATGCTTCGCACATGTGAGATGCTGTAGTTAGAGGTGGGAAGCTCTGGCCTCAGGGACTCCGAGAGCTGTTGCCCAGGCCCAGGTGTGGACATGAGGCCCGGACCGGGGCATCGGCCAAGGGGATGGGAATGTTTGAGTTTTGATTTTTATCCAGCTGGGATCTGTTCTCAAGGATGGGATCCATTTTCACTTTTTCCCCAGATGAACAGCCACTTTGGTCCACTGCCAGTTACTGGGGGCGGTGGGGGGGCTCCTAGCCACCAAGGTTCACTCACCGTGGTCTGTCTGCTGTGTGTCGGTCCTCAGGCTGGGAGCTTATTGCCAGATCCTAACCAGTGGAGCCCCTTGTTGCAAACTTCTCTCCAGAGAGAGTGATCCTGGCCCGACCCCTGGCCTGAGCCAGGTCACCCTCCAGGCAGCAATGCAGGGCCCCAAGTCTCCACTGCCCCGACTACAGGCTGGGTTAGTTACTTTTGGGGGCATTTGGATATGCCCCTTCACTTTCCGAGGACCATGCCCTCAGCAGCATACAGCTCCCCTGCAGCAGGCTGCCCCTGATTTGAAGTTGATGTTTAGGATATAAACCGAATGACAAAAGATACACATTCTCAAAGGGGTCTGTCTCTGCACTCTCCTATTCCAGTGATCTTGTCACCATCCGAGCCATACCGCTCTAGTTTAATCCCTACTTCTTTCTAATCAGTTCTGATGGTTGGTAGAACCAGTGCTCGCTCCTTGTTCTTCTTTTACACATTTTCCTTGGCTTTCTTTGCATATTTTCACTTCCAAATGAAGTTTGGAATGATCAACTTATGTTAAAAATTACACTGGGGGCGCCTGGGTGGCTCAGTTGGTTAAGTGTCTGCCTTGGGCTCAGGTCATGATCCCGGAGTCCTGGAAGTGAGTCCCACATTGGGCTCCCAGCTCCATGGGGAGCCTGCTTCTCCTTCTGACCTTCTCCCCTCTCATGCTCTCTCTCTCACTCTCTCATTTAAATAAATAAGTCTTTAAAAAAAAATTACATTGGGTTGGGGAGCCTGATTGGCTTCCTTGGTAGAGCATGCAACTCTTGACCTTGGGGTCATTGAGTTCAAAGCCCACATGGGGCAGAGCTTACTTTAAAAAAAAAAAAAATTGAGAGGACATTGAATTTGTAGAATACTTTGGGAATTTAGTAACTGTTAACATTATGAATGGGTACCCCCTGCTTTACAGTAAAGTCAAGCCAGGCAGTGGGTTTAGGGAAAAGTATGATCCTAGACCCGTGCCTCACCCAATACACAAAAATTAATTCAAGATGGATCATAGATCAAAATATGAAAGGTAAAACAGGAAAGTTTCTAATGAAAACAGAGAATAGCCTTATGACCTTGAAGTAGACAATATATTTTATTTTTTAAATTTTTAAAAATATTTTATTTATTTATTTATTTGACAGAGAGAGGGATCACAAGTAGGCAGAGAGGGGGGTGCAGAGAGAGAGAGGGGAGGGAGGCTCCTTGCCGAGCAGAGAGCCCGATGTGGGGCTCGATCCCAGGACCCTGAGATCATGACCTGAGCTGAAGGCAGAGCCTTAACCCGCTGAGCCACCCAGATGCCCCCAAACTTAATACTTTTTAACTTTATTTATTTTATTTATTTTTTTAAGATTTCATTTATTTGACAGAGACAGCAAGAGAGGGAACACAAGCAGGGGCGGGGTTGGGAGAAGCAGGCTCCCCACTGAGTAGGGAGCCCAGTGCCCGACTCAATTCCAGGACCCCAAGCCAAAGGCAGACGTTTAATGATTGAGCCACCCAGGCACCCCAAATTTAATATTTTTAACTCCATATATCCAAGATGTAACCAGTATAAACATGTGAGGCATCTGGCATTCTTTCTGTTAAGTCTTCGACATCCACTGTGCAGTTTCCCCCCACAGCACCACTCGGCCTAGCTCCGTATCAAGCACTTGGTAGCCACATGCTGGTGGCTACATGGTCCTAAAACAGGGTGGCCCTGGCCCTGATGGAGGCCAGCGGGGCTGTGGGGGCGTCAAGGCGTCCTCACCCTGCACAGTGGCTTAAGCAGGACACATGGTCGGTGCAGGTCAGAAGGCTACACGTGGTGGAGTCCGGAGCCTGGGCCGCCTGGGCCGTGCTGCAGGGCGGCCTGCAGGTGGGGGAAGGAAGTTCAGGATGAGGGGCCACATCTTGTCCTGGAATCTAGATCCAGAAGCCACCCAGGTCACTTCCCAGCATTCAGCTGTACAACCACACCAGGATGTAAAGGGACCTGCAGTGTCTGGTGGGACAGCCATGAGCCCAGGAAGAGGGAGAACGGATTAAGGAAGGAATCAAGCCTCTGGCCTGCAGGTTAGAGGCCTCTGGAGGGGATGTGGTTGGGAGCTGGACCTGTTCCCGGGGTCAGTGGCCACGGTGGCCCCACAAGCCCCCCCACCCCAGGACAGAGGCCTCACACCGGCAGCAACACCTGCCGCCTTTTGTAGCAAACTCATGGCGGTCTGTCCCCCGCAGCCCGAGCACGGCATCGATTTCGTCAGCAGGGAGCAGTTTGTGCACTTCGCCAAGCAGCTGCGGGCCCGCGTCCTGCTCATCAAGTAAGTGTGAGCCTCGCGCCCCCGAAGACCCTCGGCTGCCAGGAACCCCCAGGTCTCCCTCACGTGAGGTTCCCGCTTCTCCTGCGTGAGGCCGGGCTGCCCCTGGCACCAGGGTGTGGAGGGCAGGGCCGGGAGCCGACCCGGCCGCCCCTCTCTGCAGGCATCTGCAGAGGGCACCCCTGGGCCGGGCAGACACGGCCGACTGTACCCTGCCAGGTCCCCCGGCCTTCCAGCCGCCCCCACCTGCCAGCTGCAGTCCCACAGCCACCACCTGTGGCCGCAACTGTGACTTCTAGGGACATGTGTGCCTCCGGAAGTCTAGGAAGCATGGACTCGAGTTGCAGATCCAAACCACAGTGAGATACACTGCCACCTCCCCCAAACCTGGGGATGGCTGAACCCTAAATGGCAGGTGACAGGCACTGGCAAGAATGTGGAGAAACCAGAGCCCTCCCGCTGTGGGGCTGTAAAGTGGCACAGTCATTTGGAACAGCCTGGCAGTTTCTGGAGCCACTAAGTTACCGCAGGCCCCACAGTCACCCTCCCAGGGATATACAAGCCCAACCTAGGTCCACACGGCAGCTTGTGCAGGACCGTCCAGAGCAGTGCTCATCACAACAGCCCAGAGGCGGAGGCCACCCAGGCGACCACCAGCAGACAGGCCAAATGCAGCGTGTCCACGCGGGGGGCTACATTTCAGCCAGAAGGGAACAAACTGGTGCAGGCTACATGGGTGACTCAGAACAGGATGGAAAGTGAAAAAAGCCGGTCCCGAGTCCACGCGTTCTGTGGTTCGACCCACACACCAGTGCGGAGCGGAGTCTCTGCAGTCAGTGTTGGTGTAAACCCAGGAGCTGGGTGAGAACCAGAGGCTCCGGTTTGGGGTTTTTTGAGATGATGACAGTGTCCTCGAATCAACTGTAGTCACGGGTGCAGAACTCTTTTTTTTTTTAAGATTTTATTTATTGATTTGACAGAGAGAGATCACAAGTAGACAGAGAGGCAGAGAGAGAGAGAGAGGGAAGCAGACTCCCTGCTGAGCAGAGAGCCCAATGCGGGACTCAATCCCAGGACCCTGAGATCACGCAGGTGCAGAACTCTTAAGTATACAGGTGAAATGGGCAAAATCTCAGGAAAGATATGGAGAGCGAGCATGGACTCGGCCCGTCCCATCCCGGCTGTGCCATGCAAAGGCCGTGGCTGCGGGTGGGTCCCATGACCCTGCCAAGGTAAACCCCGCAGCACCTTGGCCACAGTGAGCCCTGAACTGCAGGAAAATCAGAGGCAAGCCCAGGCTGGTCTCTGCTCAGCCTGGAAGCCAGGCTAGGGGGAGGCACCACAAGGTGTCCCCAGGGTGAACCTTGATTTTCCTCTCACTTTCCAGAGCAATGCAAGGATATTATAACGTGAGAAGGGAGAATGACACTGACAGGAACGTCGTAGCTTTTGTGACGGACACGCTGAAATTGGTCCTAAAGGAGGTAAGGGCATGAGCTCAGCTCCGGTGAGGTCCAGGAGGGTCCTCACGCGCTCCTTCCACCAGGACCTCTGGTCCGGGCCCGGGTCTAACAGGTGACTGGCAGGAGCTCCCAGGCCTCACTCCCCACGGCAGCCAGTCCCCAGAGCTCACACTCAACTCGGCAAACCCATTTTACTGGCCGAGTGCCCCAGTGCTGTTGTCCACGTGTACTCCCCAGTCCAGGTCCAACTTGTCCAGACCAACAGACTGAGCGGGTGACCCGTCTCCAGTGGGGTCAGGGACCCGGGTTTTGTCCACGGGAACACGTGGCACCGCTGTCAGCACCTGCCCCTGGGCCTCTGCAGACCTCAGCACCACCACCAAGGCGAGCCTCTGTGGCCGGCCCGCAGTGCCCTCCAGTCTCCCAGGGAGGGTCGCCCTTGACTACTGGGCCCTCCCTGGCCTAGCTCTACAACCTTACAGGCCAGAATGACCCAGAAATCAGGCCTTTCTGACTCTGAGTCAGGCTCTGACTTAACCAGCATGTGACTGGGGAGCTGTGGGTCAGTCCCTGCCCCATGGTTCACCATGGGGGACCCTTTGGAACCCCTGGGAGGTAGCAGACCCTGGGAAGGCCCCAGCACAGCCGAGGGGCCACACTCACCAACCATTCCCACCCCTCTCCAGCAGTACCAGTACACGGAGGTCCCGGGCGGCCACTATGTCCACTTAAACCAACCCGAGAATGTGGCTGGTATCATCAGTGCCTTTCTACAGTCCAAGGAGACGATACCAAGCCATCTGTAGCCTGGGCCCAGGCCTTTGGAGACATGGTGCCCACCACTCACCACCCGGATTCCTAGTTCCAGGCCCTCCAGCCAGGGCAGTGTGGTGGGGACTGGCCTCACTGGTCTTGAATGAGGTGGAAAATCCTGGGCAGTTTGGGGGGGCGGCGGGGGGACACGGGACAAGATTCAACATTTGTGACTTCAAGGGGGAGACCCTGTTTGGATCTGGGGGCGCTGTTCTGTGGCTGGCAATCTGCAGTGAGTGGGGAGCAGGGGGAGGAAGGAGCAGCCAGACGAAAAATAAAACGTTCTTGTATGCTTCTGAGGCTGTCCCGTCTCCACGGGGGCTCTTCCACGGAGGAGAAGGGAGAACACAGCGGACACTCAGATGGAGACCAAAGGCCTGGGGCACACTGGGGACAGACAAACCGGGAGAGGGAAGCAAACACGGCCTGGGCTGGTGGCTCCCTGCGGCCTGTGGGCCCCCCCTCCACCAGGCAGGCCTCACCAGCACTGCGCCCCCCGCACTGCTGCAGCCTCAGAACCAGGGGGAGGGTTCTGTCCTTCCCCACACCATGTGCACTCAGATCGGGGGTGGGGGTGGGGGTTGATGTGGCAGCCCCCGGGCCTGGGCAGTCTGGGACGAGTGTTCCAGGCCTTCATGTCCTCCCCGGCCACACACTGCCACCGCTCACTGCCCCTCTGTGGAGCCCCGGGACCAGCTCGGCTCAGTAGGGTCGGAACTTGCGCTGTGCCCGCATCAGCTCGATCCTCTGCTTGTCTTCCTCGAACTTCTTACGCAGCTGGGCTAGATCTGGGGAAGGGAATGGGAAAAGGGACATGCTGTGTGAGTCGGTGTACTCTGTGGGGACTGTGCCCCCACTCCGTCCTCCTCTCTGATACTGTCCAGACGCTGCAGGGAGAGATGAGCCTGCAGGCCCAGAGGGCAGGGCGCGCGAGCCAGGGTGGCCACACGCCTGAGCTTTCCAGGAAGACTCAGCAGAAGAGTGAGCGCAGCGAAAGCAAGACACCTGCTCCCTTACCACCCCCACCCCACACACCCAGGGTGAAGGCAACGGCTCTGGGGAATGGGGAGCCTCCCCAGGGGCACCCGTCCTCCCCTTGCCCACTGCAGCAGCCAGACTGGGGAGAACGTCAGGGAGTAAAGGGACTTGGGCCTCGGAGTGCCGCAGAATTCGGATGGCGGCTCTGGTCACCAGGTGACCAGGTCAGAGGAATACGGAGGGGCAGGGGCCCAGAGGGAGAGCTGATGGAGACGTGCTGTCGGCGGTTCTAGAGAGACAGGCAGGAGCTATGGTGCCCAAAGAGGGCCGCCAGAGTGGGGAGCAGCAGCAAGACAGCTAAGAGGGTGACGTGCCTGGGTGGCAGGTCACCATCCACTGCTGAGCCTGTACCCCTGCCAAGGCCAGGGCCAGCAGCCTCTACCCCCAGGCCCACAGGGAAGCCGCCCCGCAAACACAGAAAGGCCTGCGGCACCAGCTCCGCGTCATCAGGAGCAGGAGTGAGCCACAGGCGAGCGGGCGCTCATGCTAACACGCTCCGTGTGAGCGTGCCTGCCCCGTAGTCAGTCACACACACTGTCACACACACTCACACGCACACAGTCACACAGCAGTGGTGGCTCCCTGAGATCCACCCTCTGCAGCCTGGCCCGGCCCCTGCTGCAGCCGGACAGGTTCCAGCGCCAACCGCTCAGGGTGGTCCGACGTCCCCAGTGTGTCCCAAGCATCTCAACAACCCCCATAGCTGTCGCAGGGAGCAACAGGGGCACCGCCTCAGGGGATGCTGCAGGCTGGGACCCTGATTCCAGAGCCTGTTGGGACGTCTGTGTCCAGGGAACGCCCCCCCCACCACTCCACACCCATGTCCAGTGCCGCGGGGGCCGAAGCACAACGCCCTGGGCCACTCCCTTACGCTCCATCTTGGTCTCTCGGTGCTGCCAGGCGTAAAAGTTGAGAAGCTCCTTGCGGGCGCGCTTCCGCCTCTCCCTGTCCAGCACCCGCAGGCTGGCCGCCTCTGTCCGCGGCAGCACGGGCCGCCGGCCCCGACGGGTCACCTTCACCCAGCCCTCCTCGTCCGGAACCCCTTCCTCCTCCTTGGCCTTGGCCTCCTCCTGCAAGGAGAGGACGCTGTGCCCGGCAGACCCCGGGACCCGCCCTGCAGCCTGGGGTGCCCCTCCTCCCCTCCCCTCGGAGCTCTCCCTCTGGCACCCAGAACCTTCCTGCCACCTCCCCGCACCCACCGTCACCTGCTGCGCCCTCTCCCTCCCAGGAGCTAAGTACTAGGGGGGCAGGGGGCACAGAGGTAGTGACACTGCCGCCTCATCCCTCAGACTGTTTCCCACAGGCCACTTAGAGACTAGTCATCACCCAGCTAGGTGACCCAGGACTAAGCACGGAGAAAGGGGGCCCGAACTCTACACAGTGACCAGGAAAGGGTGCCAGCCCTCATCCCCTCCAGAGTAACACAACACCCGTGATACCGTCCCCATGGAAGCCCCACCTCAGCTATCCTCTTGTCATACGCCTCCATGAACGTGTCCACTTCGGCCCTCAAGGCCTCAGGGTCTGGCACCGAGTCTGCGTAGCTGCTGATCCACTCTGAGGAGAAAGGGGGGGAGGGAAACGGGGCCTCTTCAGGCCTAATACTCAGGGCCCTGAGTGCCCAGCCAGGCAGGATCTTCTCACGCAGGCCACAAGGATGGAGACTTGCAGCCCAAGGAAGGTTCTAGTGGCGGCAAGTTGGGCCCTCCCCTCTGCCCACCCTGACTGCCGCTCTGGGGGGGCGTGGGCACAGCAGGCACTGCCCACAGCGCTCCCCCCACCAACCCAGGACCCAGGAAGTGGCGTGGGGGCGCGACGCCGCCATGGTACTGACTGTGGATGCCGCTCTTCACAGGGTGACTCTCTGTCGAGGCCAGTAAAGGGCCCTTGAGGACTAAGGCAGCAGACACCCCACCTGGCTTCTGGAACACCACGTAGGCCACCTGGAAGCCCTGGGGGAAGGAGAGGTGTGAGGAGGCCAGCACCCATCCCATCGTTCCAGGTCCTGGCACCTGGGCTCCCAGCTGCCCTCAGCCCGACTCGTCGCTGGGCTAGGGGACACGTGCTGGTATGTTCCTGAACCAGGAAGATAACCAGAAAGTTCTCTGTAATCCTGGGGAGGGACAGCCACGCTCCTGGTTTTCCAACTCCTGCTAGAAGCGACCCAGGTGAGGTGAGACACTCGGGACCTCCCTTCTGGTCATGGGAGGGACGCAGTGACAAACCAGCTCACCGCGTCCTGGGAGCGGACAGAGCCCACACTAGGTCAGACCGCGTGATGCCAGGGGGAGGTGTGGGCTCAGGACGGGGAGAGGAGGCCATGCCGGGGGGCCTCAGGAAGAAGGGACTTTGGCTGGGGAGCAGGAGGGGAGCTCCGGGAGACCCTTCAGGGCAGCGAGCAAGATGGTCTCTGAGCTCCCACCCAGGACAATGGAGAGAGCCGGACAAGAAGCTAAAGGATGTGGCAAATCCAGGGAAAGGAGCAGAGGCGCTGCTTACTGGCCGGCGTCCTCGGCCACATGTGGCAGGGACTGGCCTACCAGTGCCACCCTGGCTGCCCCCTGTGCCCCCAGGTGAGCAGATAGCAGCACTTGGACGCTTACCAGAACGGGCGTGGGGTGAAAAAACTTTGACTTTGGCTCCTCTGCGCTGTCAGTGAGGTCTGGCTTCTCCTGTAACTGCACGGACTGGACGGGGCCACAGGGGGAGAAGAGGCGGGACAGGCACTCCTGCCGCAGAAAGCGCAGCGTGAGGGGCTGCGGGGCCTCGGGGAGCCTCCCTCTGCCCAGGGTGGCACCGCCAGGGGACCAGGGCCCCCAAAGGTCTCGGAGCCCGTGTCTGCCCACCTGCAGGGCGCACACACAGGCCGTGAGCCAGCCATATCCTCCTCTGTACCATCACTGTCCTGCCCTCCCACAGCCCGAGCCCACGACCCTGTGAATTTCCAAGTTCAAAACTGTTGAGTAAAAAAAACCACACCTCCACGGGACACAGGAGGGAGCAGACACAGTGCGAGACAGAATTCAGGTGTAAACTCTTTGGCTTTATGACAGGAAACTGCTAGAAACACATGCCCAGGATATTTAGTTGGTGCCTGAAAGCGATTTCTCACTTTGAAAGGTCAGTCGTCCGTCACTGCCCCTTTCTCTGGGTGAACGATCCCCGGAGGAGGATCAGGTTCTATCAGGAGACTAGGTGGGGACGTTTCTGGGGTTACGCGGAGGATTCTGGGTTTTCTAGGACAAACAACTAAGTTTTCCTCCCTGCAGCAGCCATTTAAACCCGGAGTCAACTCTGTGTTGTTGGGACTCAGGTTGGCCGTGATCCTCGGGAGGGGGGGCCGCGAAGGGATTTCTTGGGCGCGGGTCACGTTCTGGTTCTGGGGGCCGGGTATGCGGGCACGTTCAGTCTGTGAAACTCAGCGAGCCGTACCCTGTGGCCAGGCCCTTCTCTACACACACACCACGCTTCAGGAAACGTAAAACATGACAGCCTCTCTTCTGCTTTTCTCTGACTGCAGACAAGTGTTTTTGAAATTAGTTCCTATCTTGAGGATTCTCTCCCTCTGCCTCTGTCCTGGCCCTACTCACTCTCCCTAAAATAAACACATCTTTAGAAATTAATATTCCTTTTTTGGGGCGCCTGGGTGGCTCAGTGGGTTAAAGCCTCTGCCTTCGGCTCAGGTCATGATCCCAAAGTCCTGGGATCGAGCCCCGCATCGGGCTCTCTGCTCAGCAGGGAGCCTGCTTTCTCCTCTCTCTCCCTCTGCCTGCCTCTCTGCCTACTTGTAATCTCTGTCTGTCAAATAAATAAATAAAAATCTTAAAAAAAAAAAATAAAATAAAATAAAGAAATTAATATTCCTTTTTTGAAAAATAACTCATCTAATACCCAGCAACACCCTTAGTTTCTGTTCTGTGACTTTATGTAATGCAAAACTACCATTTTCATGAAAATACGTTAATGCCTGGACAGATTTAGAGGATAAGCTTATCTTCTATTTTTTTTAAAAAATATTTATTCGACAGCGAGAGAGGAAACAAAGCAGGGGGAGAGGGAGAAATAGGCTTCCCGCCGAGCAGGGAGCTTGATGTGGGGCTCGATCCCAAGACCCTGGGATCATGACCTGAGCCGAAGGCAGACGCTTAACGACTGAGCACCCAGGCGCCCCGTATCTTCTATTTTTACCTATGGAGATGTGTCACTTTTATAATCGGGAAAACATGTAATTCAAAGAATTCTGGGAAATCATAAAAAGCTTTGAGCTTCTTAGAACTGTACTTTGTATTTTTTTATTTTTTAAAGATTTTATTTGAGAGAGAGAGAGCACAAGCAGGGGGAGTGGCAGGCAGAGGGAGAGGGAAAAGAGGGCTACCTACTGAGCAGGGAGCCTGATGTGGGACCCAGTCCCCAGACCCGGGGACTGTGACCTGGGCCAGGGGCAGATCTTAACCGACTGAGCCACCCAGGGGCCCCAGAACTTTACTTTTCAAAGCATAGCTTTAAAAAAACATTTCCAAAAAAATTAAATTAAATTAAAATTAAAAATAAATAAATAAATAAATAAACATTTCCAAGGTGCCTGGGTGGCTTAATCGGTTAAGAGTCTGATGCTTGCTTTCGGCTCAAGTCGTTATCTCAGAGTCTGGGATCAAACCCTGTGTCTGGCTCTGTGCTGGGCATGGAGGCTGCTTGAGATTCTCCCTCTCAGCCTCTGCCCCCGACCTTGTGCATGCTCATGCTATTTCTCTCTCTAATAAAAAAATAAATCTATCTTTAAAAAGACATATCCAGGGGCGCCTGGGTGGCTCAGTGGGTTAAAACCTCTGCCTTCGGCTCAGGTCATGATCCCAGGGTCCTGGGATGGAGCCCCGCATTGGGCGCTCTGCTCAGCGGGGAGCCTGCTTCGCCTCCTTCTCTCTCTGCCTGCTGCTCTGCCTACTTGTGATCTCTGTCTATCAAATAAATAAATAAAATCTTAAAAAAAAAAAAAGACATTTCCAGGGCCCCTAGCTGGTTCAGTCGATAAAGGATGTAGAGATTACTTAAAAAAAAAAAATAAAAAATAAGCTATTTCCTCTCACAAGAGACAGACGCAGCAGCCTTCTAGATGCCCTCCCTTGGGGCTTCAGTTGGATGCTTCCACCTAACCAGCAAGGACGCGGTGGAGGCCAGCGGAAACCCAACCCTACCCGGAGCTCCTGGCCCGCCCTAGAGGTCCCCTCCCGGACACCCGCTCACCTCTGTGCAGTATGGGGGCACATTGAGGACAAAAAGGGTCCGCTTCTGAGGCCAGGAAGACTTGGTGCCTTCTCGAACTCTGTGCTCTCTCACATAGAGGTAGTGAGAAGCCTGCTGCTTTTCCGAGAACTTGATCGGGATGGCTGGACAGGAAATGAGGGCAGGGAGGAACAGCGTGAAAATCAAGCTCAGGCTGTCCCTTCCTGGCCCATCTGTCTGTCCGTTCCATCACGGAGCCCTTCCCCTAGGCAAGGCCTGTGCGGAGCACTGTGCAGGCTGCGAGAGTGAAGGAAGAGAGAACCTGCCTAGGAGGGACGCCCAAGCAGGTGGGGGAGAGAATGTAAACGGGCAATTACGACAGGTGGGGAGCATTATGAGACGGGAGCTCAAACCCCACTGCTCTTGGGGTCAACACCAAAATCCTGACATCGGCTGGAGGCCTTGCCAGACCCTGCCTACCTTTCACATCTTTTTGCAGAGTCCGCCCCCCACCACTGTGCGGGTCTGCCACTCTGCCTTCTCTCTATCCCTCCATAAGTCCAGGCCTCACTCAAGCTCACACGTCTCCTTTACCTGAAACACCAACCCTCTTCCTTCCACCCATTCTTCAGGTTTAACTTTACTTCCTCTGAGAGCCTTACATGCCAAGTCAGAGCCACCTGCTCTGTGCCTTGACAATGTCTCTCCATGTCTCTAAGTCTCTATCTGCGTAATCATTTGGGGATAATGTCTGACATTCCCATAATGCTAGGGTCTGTTTTCTGTTTCTCCCGGCCTTCTTCAGAGCACCGTGGGGATACAGCTGCAGCCCCTGTGCTCAGGAAGCTCCCATGAGAGTAGGACAAGACAATGAACAAGGCAGCACATAACAAGATCCTATTAAATATGAAAGAAAGGGGGAAACTGCGGGGTGGTTGCGTGGCGGAGGTCTTTAGATCGGTATCTGAACGGCCTCTTTGAGGAAGAAGTATCAAAGTCACAAGGCACAGCTGTGTGAAAAGGGCACCTCAAGTGCAAAAACCCTGAGGGTGTAAAGAGCTTGTTGCTCCAGAGGAACAGAGAGCGCTCCAGGGCGGCTGAGGCAGAACATGTGGGGCCACACAAGTCAGTAAGTTTGGCTTTCGTTTTAGGTGCCAGCTTGTAAAGCCACCGGAGGGATTTCAGTGGGTATGGGGCTATACAGGCGGCCTGTGAGGCAAAATCTGATTTAAATCTGACTTTGGAAAGCACATTCCGGCACCTGGGCGAACAGAAAGCAGGGACAGGAGAACCAGTTGGGAAGGCACAGCCGGGTTAGGGGCGATAGTGGCCAGACTAGGAGTGCCAGAGGTGATAAGAAGCGGGTGGGCTCCCTCGTCCGGGGTTAGAGTGTGGACAGAGCCGGGTTTACCCAAGGGAAGCTGTGGCCAAAATGGGCTCGTCCCGGAAAAGTGCCGCCAGACGCGAGCAGAGCGTCTTGGGGGCTTCGGGGCCGCCAGCGCCGCCGCCCGAGCCGCCTCCCGGGGAAGCCTGACCCCCACCCCCCGACCCCGCGGCCCCTCACCTGAGTAACCTGGCGGGCTCGGAATTCCCTGCTCCGGGTCCCGCGCCCCACGTTTCCTCCTGCGCGCCACCATCTTGCCAACCGGAAGCCGCGGGGGCCGCTGGGAGTTGCAGTCCGGCGCTGGGAGCGTGCGCGTTTCCATGACCACGGCGGCGCCGCGTGGGGCCCGCCTTCTCGGCTCCAGGCCCGGCTCCAGGCCCGCCTCCCGGCCCGGGTACCTTCACTGCACAACCTTCGTTTGCTCTAAATAGTCAGCACGTAGATGTGTGGGTAAATGTCGGCGTGGAGGGAACTCAGCCTTCCAGTCTTCCATTGCGCAAATAGCAGTGAAGACCTCATTGAAGCTGACCATTTTAGCCATTTCTAAGTGTACAATTCAGTGGCATTAAGTGTTTTCTCAGTATTGTGCGACCAACCTCCTTGCCCATCTCCGGAATGTTTCACCCTCCCAAGCTGAAACTCTGTACTTGTTTCCCTCTTCCCCCAGCCCCTGGTAACCACCATTTTACTTCGTTCCTGTGAATCTCCTATAGATACCGCATACAATGCAATCATACAGTATGTGTCCTTCTGTGTCTGGCTTATTCCACTTTGCGTGTTTTCATGGTTAATCCACGTAGTGGCAGGTCTCAGAATTTCCTTCCTTTTTAAAGCTGAATAATATTTCATTTAGGTATAGATCAGATTTTGCTTATCCATATGTCTGTGGGCATTTGGGTTGTTTCTACTTTCGGCTATTGTGAATAATGTTGCTATAAATATTCTCTACAACTTTTGGGCAGACATGTTTTGATCTCTCTTGGATACATATCTAGGAGTTTTTTTTTTTTTTTTTTTTTTTTTTTTTTTTTTTTTTTTTTTTTTTTTTTTTTTTATTGAAAGAAAACACAAGGTGGCAGAGGGGGAAGCGTGGGGGGGGGGGGGGGGGTGTTGCTGAGCAGAGAGCCCAAGGTGGGACTCGATTCCAGGACCCTGAGATCATAACCTGAGCCAAAGGCAGAGGCTTTAACCCCCTGAGCCATCCAGGTGCCCCTCTAGGAGAATTTCTTGATCATTATAGTAACTGTGTTTCACTCTTTGAGAACTGCCTGTTTTCCAAAGTTGGCTGCATCATTTTAATGTCTCACCAGCAAACTTTGAGGGTCTAAAATTTTCCACATCCTCACCATTATTTATATCTAATATTTTGGCTATAGCCATCCTAATGATCGTATAGTGATAGCTCATTGGGTTTTGATTTGCATTTCTCTGATCATAAGTGATGTTGAGCATCTTTTCATGTGCTCATTGGCCATTCGTGTGGGTTTTTGTTCTTTGAGAAATGTTTACTCAGAGTCTGCTCATTTTCTGTTGGATTTTATTTTTACTTTTATTGTTGCGCTGTAAGAGTTCTTCATCTTTCCTGGGTGCCATTCCCTCATCAAATACGTGGGATTTGCAAATACTCTCTCTTATTCTGTGGGTTGTCCTTTCACTTTCTTAAAAGTACAAAAGTTTTTCAATTTTTGAAGTTCAATTTACTTTTTGAGGGTATCTAGTTGTCTGCACCATTTGTTAAAGACTATTCTTTCCCCCACTGAATTAATTGTCTTGGTACCTTTGCTGAAAATTAATGGACCAGATACATGAGGCTTTAGTTTTGGACTCTTTATTCTATTCCACTGGTCTGTATGTCTATCCTTATGCCAGTATCACACTGTCTTGATTACTGTAGCGTTTTACTTAAGTTTTGAAATCTGGAAGTGTGAGTTCTTCAACTCTCTTCTTTTTCAAGATGGTTTTGGCTACGCAGGACCCCTTTAAATTCTTTCAACAATGTCTCATAGTTTTCAGGATATAAGTTTTACGCTTATTTTAAGTACACTTGTTTAAGTATTAATTTTATCCTATTTTATTGTTTGACTCTATGCTGAGTTTCAGAATTATTTTCTAATATGACTTCTAGATTACTCATTGTATCGATTGACCTTGCATTCTGCAATCGTGCTGTGTACGTTAGTTCTGGTAGTCTTTCAGTGGATTCCTTAGCATTTTCTGTATAAATACCATGTCATCTACAAATAGAGATAATTTTACTTTTTTCTTTCCAATTTGCATGCTTTTCTCTGCAACTCCCCGACTCCTCCCCAAACCAAAACCCCTTGGCTAGAGCCTCCAATTCACTGTTGAACACAAGTGGTAAAAGCAGACATCCTTGTCTTGTCTCTGATCTTAGAGGGAAAGCTTTCAATATTTAACCGAGGGATTACTGATTTCACTGTGACCAAGAACCCACTGTATGAACTTAATTCTTTTGCACTTGTTGAGATTTGTTTTCTGGGCAGGATATGGGTATATGTCCCATGGTATTTGAAAAGAATGTGTCTTCTGTTGTTGGATTTTTAAACAATTTTTTTTTTTAAGATTTTATTTGACAGGCAGAAATCACAAGCACGCAGAGGCGCAGGCAGAGGCAGAGGGGGAAGCAGGCTCCCCGCTGAGCAGAGAGCCGGATGTGGGGCTCAATCCCAGAACCCTGGGATCATGACCTGAGCCGAATGCAGAGGCTTTAACCCACTGAGCCACCCAGACGCCCCATGTTGGGTGGAATTTTTTGTTGATTGGATCCTGTTGGTTGGTGGCGGTAAGTTCTACATCCTTGTTCTGTCTAGTTCTACCTTTTGTTGCAAGGGATGTTGAAGTCTTTGAGTGTTAAGTGTGGATTTGCTATTCCAATTCTATCAGGTTTTGCATCACATGATTTGTAGCTCTGTTACTTGGTAATACATATTTAGGATTCTATCTTCTTGGTGGATCAACCTTTTTTTTTTTTTTTTTTTTTTTCATTATACAATGTTCCTCTATCTCTGGTAACTTTCTTTGCTCTGAAGTCTAATATATCCGATACTAACATAGCTACTTTGGGGGGATTGTTGGCATGATATATATTTTTTTCAATCATTTTGCTTTCAGCCTTATATTGTCATATTTGATGTGTCTCTTGCAGAGAGCGTGTAAGTAAGGGCATGTTTTTTCACTCGCTTTGCCAATCTTTCAGTGGTTGTATATATAGACCATTTATATTTGATAGTGATCTTAGTGATATAGTTTAATCTCAAATTTTATTAGTTTTGTTTTTTCTGGGGTGCCTGGGTGGCTCAGTGGGTTAAGCCTCTGCCTTTGGCTCAGGTCATGGTCCCGGGGTCCTGGGATCGAGCCCCACGTCGGACTCTCTGCTCAACGGGGAGCCTGCTTCCCTCTCTCTGCCTGCCTCTCTGCCTACTTGTGATCTCTGTCAAATAAATCAATCTTTTTAAAAAATTATTATTTTTCTGCCATCCTGTGGGTTACCTGAACACTTTTTTTTTTTTTTTTTTAGAGATTCATTTTTATTTATCTGTAGTGTTTCAGGTTGTGTTATCTTTTTTAGTGATTGCTCTAAGAGTCTCATCATATATACTTCTTACTACCGTATATTCTTGCTGACATCTACCAGTTTGGGTGAAATGTAGAAAACTTCCCTCTAATTCCCTTTGTCCTCTCCTATTTATAAAGTAATTGTTTTAAATATTTCTTCTATGTACATTGAGAACCACATCAGTGTTATAATTTTGGTTTCAACCATTAACAATTCAGAAAATTCAAGAGAAGTATTTTATTTACCTATAGTTTTACTTTTTTTAAAAAAATTGTATTTATTTGACAGAGATCACAAGTAGGCAGAGAGGCAGGCAGAGAGGGGATAGCAGGCCCCCCACCAAGCAGAGAGTCAGACATGGGGCTCGATCTTAGGACCTCATGATCATGACCTGAGCCGAAGGCAGAGGCTTTAACCCACTGAGCCACCCAGGCGCCCCTATTTCTACTGTCTTACCTTCCTGATACACAAAGTTTCCTTCTTTTATTTTTTCCTTCAGGTTTAGAAAGCTTTTTTAGCCATTATTTTGGGGTACGTCTGCAGGAAGGCAACGCATTTCTAGTTTTCTTTTATCTGAGAATGTCTGAAATAACCTTGATCCCCGAAAGACATTTTTTGCTGGATGTAGAATTCTCACCCAACTTTATGTTAAGTGTGCCACTTTCTTTTGGCCTCGTGGTTTCTGATGAGGGACCTGTCATATTGTTTTTCCCTTAAAAGATGTCATTTTTTCTTTTGCTTTTATTTATTTTTTAAAGATTATTCACCTATTTGACAGAAATCACAAGTAGGCAGAGAGGCAGGCAGAGAGAGGAGGAAGCAGGCTCCCCACTGAGCAGAGAGCCCGATGTGGGGCTCGATCCCAGGACGCTGGGATCATGACCTGAGCCGAAGGCAGAGGCTTTAACCCACTGGGCCACCCAAGTGCCCTTCTTTTGCTTTTAAAATCTTTGTCTAGTTTTCTTAAGTTTGGCTATGAAGTGTCTTGGTATTAATTTCTTTGGATTTGTTTGGGATTCTTAGAGCCTCTTGAATCTATAAGTTTAGATCTTTGACCGTTTCTGGGAAGTATATGGCTATTACTTCAACTATTTCAGCCTCAATTTTTCTTCTCCTAGTACTCTGGTGATTTTTTAGATTTTAGTTTTTTTGTCATAGGTCCCCAAAGTCTTTCTTTTCTTTTTTTTTTAAAGTATTTCCTTTCTGTTCAATTTGTTAAGTTCTATTGCTTTACCTTCAACTTCAAGGATTCTTCGTTGCTTTTTTGATAATTGTATTTTTCAGCTCTAAATGATTCTTTATATTCTTTGCTGAGGCTTTGTATTTTTTTTCACTTGTTTCAAGTGTGTTCATTAATTTTTTGTTACACTTTTATGACCGCTGCTTTTAAATCCTTGGCAGGTAATTCTAACATCTTTTATCTCGGTGTTGTCTCCCTACCCTCTTTTCTGTTTCCCTGGTCTCTTCAGTCTATTTTTGACTGAAACAGGGACATTTTGGGTCGTTACAAACACTATCTTTTTTAGATTTTCTGTTCCAGCACGCACACCTCCTCTGACGCGGATGGAAAGGCACTGCTTAATCACTGCCAGGTGTGGCTGGAGCTCAGGTTCCTCCATTGATGTCCGACACCCGGGGGGGTGGGTGCCTCCTAGTTACTGCGTTGCGGGCGTCAGTTCCATCATCCTGTTCCACTTCTACTTAGAACACCCTGGTTGGGAGGGGTCAAGGGGCCTCATTTCTCCTCATATGGCCTCCACCGACACCAATTTAAAGTTCCAGCTCCCTGCCTGGCCTTCTCTATACCACCCCAACAGGAATTTGGAGGTGCCCCCAATACAGCCTAGTGAGGCTGGAAGCCTAAGCTCCCAAGTTGGCTTATGTTGGTAGTGTCAGGGTGGTTTCTTCTGGGGTGAGGCTGTAGTCTTGTGAAGCTCTTCCTTTTCTGGCCCTTATTTGCGGGGGGAGGGGGGGGTTTGCTTTTTTCAGAACTGTTTTGAGATGTGAAGGAAAAAACTCAGTGCCAGTTAATTCCTTGGGTCCCAGGGTCCCAAGGTCCTCAGTTAGTGTTTCTCTCCACCTTTCAGGCTTATGTTTGTTTTCTATAAAATCTCCAGGGTTCGATTTAGTGGAAAGGACAGGGATGAAGTACTTCCATTTTACTTTCCCAGAAGAGGGGCTGTTCCACTTACACCACAATAAACCAGTATGAAGATATAAAATGGTACAGCCACTGTGCAGACTGGATAGCAACTCCTCAAATTAATAATCGAATTACCACAGGATTTAGCAGTTCCACTTCCGGGTATGGATCCCCCCAAATTGAAAGCAAGGTCCTTCTTTTTTAGAGAGAGAGAGAGGTAGAGGAGGGGGGGCGGTGCGGATCTTAAACAGGCTCCATGCCCAGCGTGGAACTTGATGTCGGGCTTGAAATCCCAACTCTGAGAGCACAACCTCAGCTGAAATCAAGAGTTGGGACGCTTAATCAACAGAGCCATCCTGGTGCCCCTGAAAGCAGGTTTTTTTTTTTAAGATTTTATTTATTTATTTGACAGACGGAGATCTCAAGTAGGGGGAGAGGCAGGCAGAGAGAGAGAGAGAGAGAGAGAGAGAGAGAGGGGAAGCAGGCTCCCAGCTGAGCAGAGAGCCCAATGTGGGGCTCGATCCCAAGACCCTGAGACCATGACCTGGGCCGAAGGCAGAGGCTTTAACCCACTGAGCCACCTAGGCGCCCCTGAAAGCAGGGTCTTAGAGAGAGATCTGTACACCTGTGTTCACATCATTATTCACAACAGCTAAAACATGGAAACGATCCAACTGTCCACAGATGAATAAGCAAAATGTGGTATACAGACACATACAACATAGTGTTCAACTTTAAAAATTCTCTTGGGACGCCTGGGTGGCTTAGTCATGAAGCCCTTGGCTCAGGTCATGATCCCAGGGTCCCAGGATCGAGTCCTGCATCAGGTTCCTTGCTCTGCAGGGAGCCTGCTTCTCCCTCTCTCTCTGCCTGCCACTCTTCCTGCTTGTGCTCTCCCTGTCAAATAAATAAATAAAATCTTAAAAAAAAATTAAAAAAAAAAAATTCTCAGCAGCATGGAAGAAGCTCGAGGACATGAGGCTGAATGAAGTAAGCCAATGAAAGACAAATCCTGTACAAATATTGTATGAGTAATCAAAATCTTAGAACATAATAATGACGGTTGCTCGGGTCTGGAGGGGAAAATGGGCAGTTACTGTTGAACGGAAATAGTGTTTCAGCTCTACAAGATGAAGGGTTCTAGGGATGGCTGGTGGTGGGCTGCACCAGGACTGTATGTAATGCCACTGGAATGTACAAAGACGGTAAATTTCATGTGTGTTTTATCATACACACAAAACCCCTCAACAAATTAATTTTTTTCTAATGCGTAATTGATCTAAGAGAAATTTCACCCATGCATTTGAGGTCTTCAAACCAAGGCAAAAGTCAGGCTCTCCTGTTCCCTATGAACAGACCTCATTCTGTGTCGGAGCTGACCATGCTTCATGGTCACTAATACTCACACCCTCCATAATGGAGACGGGTTCACCAAGTCCTGGAAGGAACTGCTCTAGGATCGTAGCTGGTGAGTAGGAAAGCAGAGGCCAACTCCTGTTTTCTAGTGCCAAGTCCCACAAGGCCACTTAGAATCCTTAAAGAAAGAACAGCTCAAAGGTAGGAATAACAAATATTTATTCAGAAATGGGTAAGTAACATATAGTCTCCTCCATCCCTTAATGTCTCTTCCTCTCCTTTTGAAGAGATACACACAAGGAAGGTGGAGGAGTGGCAGGTGGAGAGGGACACAAGGACTGGCCCACCACCTTCTCTTCCATTTCCCATGACGACACCAGCAGGGGAGGCAAGCGAGCTCCACCTGGCCGTGTTACGACACAGCTAACCAGGACAGGGTCCATGAACTCTGTGACAGCCAGGGCAGCCTGGCAGGGGACTGGGGGGTGGGGGGAGAAGGGGAGGGGGGTAATGCCATGCAGGCAGGATATTTACCATCCCTACTTGAAGCTGAGTCCAAGCAGTGATCCAACTGTCCCCAGGACCTGAGAAACCTGGTCCCACTGCCTTGTAGGCACTCTCAAGGATCAGGAAGGGGAAAGTAGAGGAGGAATGTCTTCTAGCCGCTGAGAAGAACGAAGTTTGCACCCGTTCAGAAGGGGGAAGGGAACATGGAAACAAAAGCAGCATTCCCTCTGGACCAGAGCGCGAAGCCCCGGAGGCACTTCCCATGGACTGCCGAGGCCTGAGCAGCCTTAGAGCGGGAGGACCAAGCGCTGTTCAAAGCCTAGGTCCTCCTTCCCGCTTACACACAGAACTCTGGAAACAGGAGTTTCCAGGTGTTTCTTCACTGGGCTGTTCCCAAGCAGGCCACGGAGAGCTTTTAGTGTCTCAGGTCCCTTCTGCTTCCTAGGCGCGTGCCTTTCGCAGCGCTTGCTTGCTACGGATTCTGCGGCTGCTGCCCAACTTGCTCCGGCTCTGCCGCCCCATTCCCTCTGCGGTCCCCACAAAGCAGCAGGAGATGGAGGAGGCCCGTGGCGCCCCGCTGTCCTAGGGTTCAAGGGCTGCCCCCCACACACCTTGAAGGGCTGCTCTGATCTCCCTACACCCTCGCGACCACCCAGCATTCCCCATGCCCTCCACTGGAAGGCAGGGAAAGACCCCTCTGGTCACGGAAGGACGGGTGGGAACGGCACCCCCAGATGGCAGCTGCACGTGAGCCTCTCCCAGCATCCCTACCGTCCTGTGGGAATCTGAGGCCAGAAGCGCGGCCAGGAGCAAGCCAACATCTCCCATTCAAACGATCCCTCAGACCCTCAGTGTCAAAGAACAAGAGGCGGATCTTTAAAAAAAAAAAAAAAGAGAGAGAAAAACCAACTAGCAGAGAGCAGACATCTGCACCCAAACCAGGTGTGACAAGCGCCATGTCAGGTGAGAACTGGGAGGGCCGGGCCGACGATGCCCTCTCCCCCTGGCCATGAGACCCCAGGAGAGCAGGGATGGGGCACAGGGCAGGAAGCAAGGAGAGGGGACCCTGAGCCACCGGAGGCAGCAGAGACAGCACAGCAAGGGCCGGGGATGCTCTTTCCAGCAGAGCAGCAGGCTCACCCGCCCCGACCCACGGCTTTCTCCAGGCCAGTCGGGGAGAGAGAACAAGAGGGCTATGGCCTGATCCCCGCCCAGGCCACACACAATGACCAGGCAGGCGAGTGGCACAGCTCACAGCTCTCAAGCGGACCTGGCTGCCCTGCGGGGGGAGCAGGGGCTCCCACTCTCCACTTTGAAAGCTTAAAAAAGAGAAAGGGGAGGCAACTCGTCGCCTCCTGGAGAAAAATGTGTCCTTCAGAGAGGCCCCGGCCCTGCACTCCACGGGGCCACCAGAAAGCCTTCCAGACAACTCACGGTACCATTTTCAGATACATCAGTGTGGGGCTGAGACGAGGGACAGGGATACCGGGCAACACGGGCCTACCTCAGTGATGAGGTGGAAGGAGAAGAAACAGACTACGGCAAACGTTAACGTACAGAAGGGCACAGGGGAGAACACAACACAGAAAGGTGGGTCCCGTCCGGTGAGGAAGCGCTCTACCCCCGGCGACCCGTCCCACGCTCAGGGGCCTCCAGTCCGACGGCCCATTGGTCACAGGCTTTGCTTTAGGAAACAGCCACCCTCCTCTGCCCCTGCTTCTGGCTGCCCGCCCCGCCCGACCCCACCCCCCTGCGCCCTCGCTCAAAGTTTGATTTTGAATTCTGTGGGCTGTGTAGTCACAGAGGCCCCCGAAGACTTGAAGAGCGCTTTGAGGATGGTGTCAGGGTCCACTTCGGCTGGAGGGTTAGAGGCGGCGGTAGAATTCACCCTGCGAGGCAGCTCACTCTCCTTCTTCACCGAGGGGCTATCGCTCAGCCGTCTGCAGAGTCAAAATCCTTGTCAGTTTTCCCTCAGACAGGGAGGGAACCCACCATTTACTAAGTCTGTTAGGAAAGCTAGGTGCTGAACACAATGCTTTCTGTACCTCCTGATCTCATGACATTTTATAGCAAATCTATCATTTTTTAATTTACAGATGAAAAACTGAAATGCAGCCCCTGGTGATCTGAGGCTTTAACTCAGGAAATGCTGTATGCCCTCCAGAGACGGTCACACCCACACCAGCTTATTACATATTTGGAGAAGTCTGGAAGTCAAGAAATCGGCTTCACTCTTGCTTATTAGCCTAATGGCTCCCAAACTTAATTGGTCATAAAATCCACATTTTCCAGAATACAACTTATTCCTGGGGTGCAGCTTAAAACACTTGTCCAAATCATACAGTTCAATATCTGAGGTTCAAATTCTGGTCTTTCTAAATTTCTAAGTCTGCACCACCAACCTTGGCAAATCTGGTATCTTCCTGAGGTTTTGTCTTCTCGTCTATAAAAGGATGTCCTGCCCATCTACTCATGCATGCCAGCCTCCAAAAAACGCATAAAACAAGGGCCACCAGTGGGTACTGTCTCCATCAGAGTCCGGGGCGAGGAGGTGGCATTTTCCATTCACTTGGATGGAACTCACAGTGGAACAAAGACGCAACTGGCCTCCTCTCCCCTCTCTTCTCAGGCCTTTCTAAATTCTAAAACTGAGAACACCAGCCCCCGAGGGGCAGGCCCCTGCAGCAACCCTGCGGTACGGTCACTCTTACACCATCCAGCACCCCGACGGCCCAGCTGCCATCAGCGCAGAGGACGCGGAAGAGAGGAAAAGCACGGACACAGGCATGTTACTCCGCAGCAGGAAGAGACTCGCACAGAGTAAACCAGGAGAAAAGTTCCACCCGCCCCCAGCACCGCTGCCTGTGGGACTTACAGCAGGATGGGCTGGTCTGAGGTGATGACGTTTCCATTCATGTGAAGGTTGCACTTCATGGGTTGCCCTGAAAAACCAGAAAAGAAAAGGCTCTGCGATGAGACTTCGGCTCCGGACAAAAGGACGAGGGTTCCACCTCCCTCACCGGGGCCCCTGCTGCTGGCAGCTCTGGCTCCACGATGGGCGACGGGGAACCCCAGGTGTGAGGTCCACGAAACCTCAGCAAGGACGGCACCAAACAGCAAAGTGGAAACAGACCTCCCTTCTCCCCTCGAGCAGCAGAGGAGAGCTGCGGGACGGGAGAGCCTGAACGCATGTGACTCTGCCTAAGCTTGTTCATGAGGTAGTGAAGGAAAAGGTTTATGCAATGAAACTAAGTGAAAAAAGAACTGGAAAGTGAACATGTGGGATTCCACTTGGTCTGTGAAGGACTGACAGCTCCAGGTCCTGCCGGTGGAGCTACTCTACCCGCTATGAGAAGTGTGGTCATCCCAGCGCCACAAAGTGGGGAGAGGGAACAGAGCCATATAGGGTAACGTTTCTGACACCTCACTGGAATTAATTTAGTATTTATCTGAAACAGATTCTGGTAAGCTACAACATATACTGTGAATTCTTGAGCAACCATTAGGGTAGCAACTAAAAAATATAGTGAAAAATGGGAGATCTGGGTGGCTCAATCAGTTAAGCATCTGCTTCTGGCTCAGGTCATGATGCCAGAGTCCTGGGATTGAGCCTCTCATCAGGCTCCCTGCTCAGTGTGGGGCCTGCGTCTCCCTCTGACCCTCCCCCGCCTCGTGCTCTGTCTCTCATACTCTCTCCCTCTTTCAAGTACATAAAATCTTAAAATATATATATACACATATATATGGTGAAACAGTCTTTAAAGGACCTAAATGGTCACATTAGAAATATTCACACAAGTGAGTAGAAAGGGGCAGGAAGGAGAGCGAGTAAGAATCATAAGCAGACTCTACACAGAGCCTGGAGCTCAACGAGCCTGATCCCAGGGCCTGAGATCATGACTTGAGCCGAAACCAAAAGTCGGAGGCTTAACTGACTGAGCCACCCCGGTGCCCCGAGACAAAAAAGGTCATTTTGAGATGATGAAAGGGTCAATGCACCAGGAAAGAAAGCGATGATAAACTTATCTACAACTAACACATACAAACACGTATACGGCTAACATCAGACCCTCAAGTACACAAAGCAAAACACAACCGGAAGAAGTAGACGAGCATAGCTGGTGGCCCTTCCCTTTCAGGAACGGCCAGAAGCAGGCCGAAGACCAACAAGGAGAGAGAAGATTCCAGTAACATTACAAACTGACTAGACCTACCAGACATCTGCAAAATACATGCAGATTCTCCTTCAACACTCATGGGACAGAAGGAAATCCGGCAAAGTCACAAATACATGGAAATTAAAACAATTCTAAGTAACTAACGGGTCAAATAAGAATCACAAGGGAATTCAGACAATACTTTGAGATGAATGAAAATAAAGACACAGTACACCAAAACTTATGGGACACAGCTAAGGCACTGCTTAGACAACAGTACACAGCTGTGAATGCACAGAGCAAGAAGAAGAGGGGGAGACAACCTACAGGATGGGAGAAAATACTGGCAAATCAGTTATCTGGTAGGAGAAGAAGTCATATATAAAGAATTTTTTTTTTTTTAAAGATTTTATTTATTTATTTATTTGACAGACAGAGATCACAAGTAGGCAGAGAGGCAGGCAGAGAGAGGAAGGGAAGCAGGCTCCCCGCTGTGCGGAGAGCCCGATGCGGCGCTCCATCCCAGGACCCTGGGATCATGACCCGAGCCTAAGGCAGCGGCCCAACCCACTGAGCCACCCAGGCGCCCCAAGAATTCTTTAAAGAATTCATTTAAACTCAATTAAAGAGTCCAAAAAGACACTTCTCCAAGAGATACAAATGGTGACTCCGCACAAGCAGAGACACCCAACATCATTCACCAACAGGGAAATACAACCACAGTGTCCCACCAGCGTCTGCCTCTCGAGCACATGACCCTGGTCCACAAGGGTACTCAGTAAACACAGAAAGAACTAGTCAGCGGACAACAGGGCCATGGCAGGCAGTTTCGCTCCACAGGTGGTCCTGAGATAAACAACGGGACTGTGGGCTCAGGAAAACCAGGAGCTTGCCCCTAGGAGCAGCGCCCACCCAGGAGTTAACCACTGACACAAGGCTGCCGGCGTCTGAGGAAGCTGTGTCCTAGCACATCAGACCAACATCTCGAAGAGGAGGCTTGGACTTCTGGCTTCCCCAGCAAGACCTCGTAAGAGAACCATCCATGGAGAAATGGTGTTCCTAGGCTCACTAGACCAAAGTCCTAGGGTTGTGTGAAAACCCAGGGCCCTGTCTGTTCTTGGTGCCCAGGAAACCTTCTGTCCAGAGGGCTGAGCGTGCCCGGAGTCCTCCCAGCCATCCCAGAGGAAGGCTCGCTCTGAAGGCTGCCCCCCGAGAGGGAGCAGTGAGCGGCAGGGCTGCTCCCTCCCCGACTTACCATCCAAACACCTGTTGTTATACTTCTTGTATGCAGTAATGGCATCGTCCTTCTTCACAAAGACCACCTCTGCTACCCCAGGATGGACCAGGCGAGCCCTCTTGAGGGCTCCACATACACAAAAAAGCTCCTGCAAACAACAGGAGGATTAGGGTTGCCGAGAATCCGGGGCCGTCCTCCTGCCTGCCAGTCACTCACTCCAGAGCTCTGGGGCAGATGGCGGCCGGCCGCACTCCAGCTGAATCCGCCCAGCGCCCAGGACTTCGGGAGGCACCCTTTTAGGTGGTGTCCCTGGGACATCTGCAGGCCTCCCGATATGGGACCAGATGAGAGGATGAGCCGAGCTGGCAGCCAGAAACAGGTCTGGGCTTATAAGCCCTAGAGTCCCTGTGTCCTTCAGGAAGGCACCCCTATTTCTTCCTGCTGCAGCACCTACATTCTCAACTGGGATAGGAGTTACAGAGTTTCTCTGAGGGCCCCGTCATGAAAAGGAATGTGCAGGCTCATCAGAAGCCGTGGTCAACAGGTCACCACAGAACCTGCCAATTATCTAACTTCACTGACATCTTCTCTTCAGAAAAAAAGAAAAGGAATGAGCTCGCCCTCTCCCCAGGGCTGCTGAAAGCTCAAATGCAGGCACTTTTAGGGCAGTGCTCTGTATGCATGTGTCACTCCCGTCATCATGTCCCCTGACGCCTCCGCCTCCTCTTACAGGGGGCGTGGGGGGTGCAGAAAAGGAAGACAACATGGAGACAGACCGCGGAGGCCAGCCGGCACCCACGCCACGGCTTCACCTGCGACTCCCTTCTCAACGCTGTCATGAACACAGAAAAGCTTTCCGAAGGGGTCACTGAAATGATTTGTTTTTCATGATAAAGTGGAAAATGTCAAATACCAAAACTAAGAGAGGGAAACCGAAAACTAAGTGCGATCCCAATTTCACCACTGCTGTTCTCCAGACATCACCCGTGGGGGCAAAGAAGGGAGGGCGGGTGTTGCTGCCTTTCACGCGGGGCGGCGACCACCACAGGCCGGCAGGTCCCACTACTCCGTATTTTCAAAGATCCTGCCCACAAAGTCCCTGCCACATAACATATGCTCAATAAACAGCAGCTATCACTACTTTTATAACCAGGAAGAAGATCTGTTTCAACTCTCTGTTAACTTGTCATTCGCTGGTGAGCCTGCTCACTTCTCAAAGCTATCACACGGCACTCGTGTTTCACACTCAAAACCCCTGTCACACGTGGTGGCCATTACGGGCTGTTACAGCACTTGAAACTCCGCTGCAGAGAGCCCGGAGTCCGGGTGCTTCCTCCTGGGACCTGACAATTCAGAGTTCAAAGGGCAACTGGACTTTCGAATTAATAGTGGGGGTTTTTTGGTGCCTAAATGAAAAGAAGCGGGAAGAGAAGTCCTGGCTGCATCAGGCCCTCTCCTTGCCAGGTTTAGGCTCTGCCCATGACTAAGGGCGGGACAGGACAGGACAGACCAGGGCAATCCAGGGGGGCCAACCACCACATAACCCCAATCTATCTCATACCTTTTACTCTGGAATCATCATGAAAACCCCTAGAGGAGGCACAAGTTCCAAAGACTCACAGGAAAATAACCAGAAGGCTGTGAACTAGAGGATCCCATTGAGGCCCCATCCAGCACCCTGCACCGGCTCTGGTGCCGACGCTGTGAAGCACAGAGTTCCCACCGCCAGCCCAGCTGCTCGCTTTTGAAAGACCTGCTTCCAAGGCCGGATCTTGGCCGGTGTCAGGAGTTGGAATTGGGGAGGGTTCCCACCGCCCTAACTGATAAAAGTGACTCACTGAGCTTAATCTATGCAAACAATGTGGTTTACGCTGAACACCTGCTTTCGCCCTGGGAGTCCGGAATGCTGATGTGCAGGGGCAGAGCGAGCCTACACGACTAGCTGCAGGTAAAGACCCTGGGCGCTGAGTCTGCTCTGAGCTCCCCGGTTTCACGCATCACAGTTCGTTGCTGGGGAAATAAAGTGCATTCTGTGTGACTCCACTCGGGGAGGAATCTAGAAACTTGCACCTGGATTCCCCCGGCCTCTGCACCGCGAGCCTTCCCCTTTGCAGAATTTGCTCTGTATCCTGAAATAAACCTTAGCCCTGACAGCACTCTCTGAGGAGTCCCGTGAGTCTCGGGGAATTAGTGAACTGGCGGTGGTCTTGGGGGCCCTGGACACAGACGCGGTTTGAGAGCTAGAGCCCCAGCGGGACGCGGTACTCACCACAATGTCTTCCTCAGTGACTCGAGGGTGCAGATTGTTGACGGTCATCTTGGTACCTTCCAAGGGGCTGAGGACAGGCTGCCAGACAAGACAGTGACCAGAATCAGAGAACGGCTGTGCGCTCAGCTGTGGCACATCCGCCCGGCAAGTGACCAGGAAGGCCCAGAGGAAAGCCCCCCAGAGAGCCTGTCACAGTCATGCCCCCACCACGATACTCAGGATGCGCTAGTCATGTGTCACGACCCACCCAGCTCAGGTGACCCTTCCTCCTCAGAGCCTTTCTGACCAGCCCAGCATAGACAGATGCTCTCTCCCCAGTGCTCCCAGCAGCTCTCCTCCGGGCAGGCCTCTGTTCTAGCATAAAGGCTGCTCCGTCTGCAGCTCCGTTTCCCCCAGTTTCCCGCAAGCACGCCAAGGGCAGGGCTCACTGAGGCTTGCTTTGCTCTTTTGTAAAATGGAGGTGGCAACGCCTACCTCACGGAGGTGCTGTGAGGGCTCGACAGGGTACGCACACCACGCGGCCCCCCCCAGCACAGGCTGCCTCCCGACGGGTGCACTCGCTCCCTCTCCTTGCCTTTCCCTCACCTCGGTGGGCGGCAGCTCCTTCGGGGGCTCCTCCTTGTTCACGAGTGTCCGGGACATGCTGGTCAAGGCTTTTGTTCGAACAGAGGAGGGGAGGGCCGGAGCTGTGTACGCGTCATTCTGGACCACTTTGGTGAGAGGGAGGGCCTTGGACACGGAGAACTTGGAACTGCTCAGTCCGGCCTAGACAAACGGGCAGACAGGAATCTGAGAAGCTAGAGAAGAAGACAAGAGAGAAGCACTACGGAGCTGACAACCCTCACCCCCAGGGGCTCCCAGCTCCCCAACCCCATCAGAGATCTGGAGCCAAGAAAGGCTGCCAGTGACTTCCCCCAGGGAAGGGGCGGGAGGGGAGAAACACAGTCTGCCCACGTGCTTACAGAAGCCTCCCTCCAGTGCAGGAAGCCCCTGGTGAGACACTTCCATGCAGCCACAGGCCTACCCAGACCATGGAAATTTTATGAAGTTCTGCAATTTGGAGCTAATGACAAGGCCAAAAGCTTAGAGTCAAGTTTGCTCCCAGATACATTCCTATCAAAACTGGCCGACCATCAGCTCTGAGCTGGCCTGGCAGAGGAACCCACTCTTTAGAAGGTCCAGACTCCCAACTTCTCGGTCCCTGTTTCTATACGCAGAGGCACCATGGGCAGCCCCGGCCCAATCGGCTCCCAGACCGTGAGGCACACGCTGGCAGTCGTGCAGACCAGCAGATACCGTTCCCTCCCTCCCCTGCTCCCCCTAACTGGGGATGTGGTCCCTTGGAAACATAAACTAGGAAACTCCTTGCTAGGAATGAGTCTGAGGAAAAAGATGTATGAGGCAGAAGCGGCAGGTGGCCTTGCTGCTTTAAGCCCGCGCGGCCAGCTACAGGCTCAGGAGGAAGGGCCAGACGTAGTCGGACGCAGCCGCCAGAGGCAGAGCCCGGGGCCGGGGTGATTCACTGGCTTCTCCGAATCAAACGAAATGTCCTCCTTGTGCTAGACCCCACACTTCTCAAGCCGCTTTCTGATTACCGATGGCCAGTATGGTACGACACACCTGACCTGCGAGGCCAACTGCAGAAGCTTGACTCCTAGATCTGCTATTTATACGCTGGATGATACTGAACATATTTTCATCTCTCTGGGCCTGATCCCTCGCCTGTAAAATGGGACTAATAACAGCACCCACCTTACCGGGCGGGAGGGAAGGGGAATCCTAGTTAACATAGACACCCCATTCTTCCAAGGAGGGTGAGCCAGGACCTGAGCCTGCTGACCACTCCCTGGGCAGCGGACCTGAGCAGTTCAACCAGTGCAAAAGCCCAGCTCCTAGTAACAAGTCAGCACAATTCAGCCTCGCACAGCACTCTAAGAACTTCAGCGGCAACCACGAAATTGCTCCATACGCTCAATGCAGCGGCAAAAATGGAGTCTTCGGGTCTCTGAAGGCCAAAGGCCAAGCTTGGCTTGGGTGCCCCCAGGCTGCCGTCCCTGACATGGGCTATACCCACTGCTGCTGGCCACCCTAACGGTCCCAGATACTACTCTCATTCCTTCTCTACGTGGGATCCGCCCAGCAGCCTAGTCTAGCAAGCTCGCCCGCGTGCAGGATGCACCCGGTGGAGTGCACAGGCCAAGTACAGCTTATTCCTGCTAACACACCAACTGAGGGAACCTGGTGTCAAGAATGCAGCTGAACAGGCGCCTGGTTGCTCGTGGGTTAAGCCTCTGCCTTCAGCTCGGGTCATGATCCCAGGGTCCTGGGACCAAATCCCACATCGGACTCTCTGCTCAGCGGGGAGCCTGCTTCCCCCACCCCTCTGTCTGTCTCTCTGCCTACTTGTGATCTCTCTCTGTCGAATAAATAAATAAAATCTTAAAAAAAAAACAAACCAGAATTTGGCTAAAGGGGCACCTGGGTGGCCCAGATGGTTAAGCATCTGCCTTCAGCTCAGGTCATGATCCCAGGGTCCTGAGATCAAGCCCCGTGTTGGCTCCCTGCTCAGTGCAGAGCCTGCTTCTCCCTCTGCCATTCCCTCCACTTATGCTCTGTGGCTCTGTCAAACAAATAAAATTGTAGAACAAACAAAAGAAAACATGGCCAGAGGTGCTGACCACAGAGGGAAGGGGAACATGCAGAATGTCCTGCCACAAAGGAAAACACGATGCCATCCTCAGGGATCTCCCATTTTCCCTGCAGGGAAACAGCAAGCGGAAGGTGCCGCTCTGCACCCCACCAGCCGTGGGGCCGCCGGCACAGCACTGGACACCCTGCTCTCTGCATCTGTAAACCAGGGACTGCATCAGTTCTAAAAACCTTAAGACCCGCAAGAAGAAACATTTCTGAACTGAAAGGGCCCATTCTCCACCACCACTCCCATCCACTGATCATACACACGGAGCGCACAGGAAAAATGTAAACGCCTTACCACGTGGTGGAGAAAGCTGCCAGAAGCTGCAAATTTCATCTGTTTACTAGGAATGGGAGCTACAGAGTCATCATCTTCCTCCAAATCATATAAATTCTGAGAAGAAAGAAAGAAAAGCTAATGAGGCCTGCAGGTCCTGAAATGACATTTGGAACAAGAACAGGAAGAGACATGGAGCCAGTTGGAGGAAGAAGCAGGCACAGGGGGGGCCCGGGGGAGACTGGCCTGGGCGTCCAATCCTCACAGGCCGGATCTCCACCCACAGGGGCCCAGCAAAAGTGCTTCAACCTCCAGGTATGTGAGAATTATCTTTCCACAGCAGGCAACACCTAGAACCACCTAGAACATGTGTTTATTACCTTAGTTTAGAAAGTCCATCCTTGGCAGTCTGGCCTACAGATAGAAATCCAAACCCCAGAAAGAGCTTTAGGCACAAAGATGCTCACAGAAGGATTTCTAACCGTGAGAATTAGAGAAAGACGGCTTAAGTAAACCGGAACACCAACTCAATGGATTATGCAATTATTTAAAATGTTTAGAGTAATGTGAATCACAGATGTACTTGTGTTGTAAAGTGAAAACGGGAGGACACAAAACTGGATAATAATGTTAACAGCAAACACACAACTACAGCGAGGCAGTAACTAGACAGCAATGACGCCTAAAAATAAAAAACAGAAGAAACAGGAAGGAGCCAGGGCAGAATTTCAACAGCTGTTGGCTTTGGAGAGCAGAAGCACCAGAACTCTTTCTTCCTGTGTAATCTTTCTCTATTTTGCAAATGCTCTATATTAAGTATGTATTAAGTACATACTAATTTTTTGCACATGCTACTTTAATAATAAAAAATAGAAGACTTTCAATTTGCCTCTCTGCCCATTATATACCCACCCACCCCTCGCCACTGTAAGAAGTTTAAAAACAACTACAACAACGACTCATGCACTGCAGGGTCTCCCGGGGGGTGCGGTCAGCTGAGCGTCCGACTCATGGTTTCGGCTCAGGTTGTGATCTCAGGGCCATGGGCTCCATGCCTGGCAGGGACTCTGCTTGGGTTCTCTCCCTCCCTCTCTTTCTGCCCCTCCCCATCCCTTGCACACATTCTCTATAATAAATAAATCTTTGAAAAAATAAAAGTAAGAGTAAGTAAAACTCAAACTGCCAAAAGCCAAACGTAATCCCTCCAATTCTTCACACTGGGAACCTCGGGCCAGGCCACAGCGAATCCACCCAGCGGAGCTCCTCAAAGAACACCCATGCACGCACTACGGCACACACTCACGGCCACGCACACGCGCTCTCGCTCTCCCACCTGTTTGGCCGGGTGGTTATTGACGACGTTGATTCTCATTCCAGCAGGATGGGCGTGGAGCGGCGCCACGGCCTTCTGCTGGGGAACCTAGAAACACAGAGAGACCGTAATTCATCCCCGGGGGGCCACACGAGTTCTCCATGAGAAAGGAATCACAGCACTTGAAATACGGTGCCACTCAGCTGCGGCCTGTGGTAACCTCCAGCGAGCCTCGTGCCCAAAGCAGGGCACCGCGTCGTCTTGCTCCAGGAGCCTGGCTCAGTGAGTGTTCGTAGCTGCTGCTGCTCCTGTTCCCGAAGTCACTGAGAACATTAAATACTGTTTCCATTCCGTCTGCAGCTGTGCAAGCGGCCAGCGCGCCGGACGAGGGGCTGGGTCTGCCTAGGCTCCTCCCTTGGGCCTCCCACCGACGGCTGTGTTAACTCTGGGCACAAAGACCCACATCCCGAGAGGGAGAGCCGTTTACAAAACTGCGGGAATGGTCCCAGAGTCGTGGTGAGAGAGAAATTCGGTCCTATGTGTGAAGTGCCCGCCACACAGCACGCGCCCCACGAGCGTCTCGTCCTTTCCCCGCCTTCCCTGCATCGCTCGCTCACTGCACAAGTCAGCGACTGCAGAACCAGATTAAATCCTTGCCTCCCTCATACAGTTACTGTACAAACACCTGGGAGAACGGTCATTCGGCCCCAATACTCGGCCCCCGCCCCCTGCCTGAGCCCACAGTTGTTCCTGGCTCCCCAGGAACGTATGGCAAGAGCCGCACCCACCTGGATGGTTTTGGTGAGCTTCAGGGCGGGGGTCACCGCCCCGACGGGTGGGCTCAGGAAGGTGGCTGGGGAACTGCGCTTCAAGCTGATCTTCTCGCGGGCATCGGCCACCTGGCGGGGCCTCGGGGGCGCCGTGCTCTGCTGCTTGCGCGAGTTCAGCATCTCTCTGGCATCCTGCACTTTCCCTTTGATCCGGAACCGAGCGTCTTTCTGCAAAAGCTTTTCCCGGGCATCCTTGACTCCCAGCTTGAGCCTGGCGTCCGAGAGGCCAATCTTCTGCCGGGCGTCAAACCTCTGCTGGAAGGCGGCGGCGCGGGCTGGCGGGCTGAGGAGGCTCTGCTGGACCCCCACACGCGACCGGACACCTCCGACTCCCGGCCTGGCATGCAGACTGCAAGCAACAGAGGGGGTATGAAGCGGATCTGGGTCCTCAGCAGTAGCCCCTGGGAGCAGGGCTGTCATCATCCTGGGAGCAGGGGGCAGTCGCTGGAGAACCCAGACATCTGCTCGCTGTCTCAGGAAACAATTAAATCTACGCTGAAACTTCTTTCCTGGTTTATGGCCTTTGACTTTGCCTTGCAAAGAAAACTAGGAAGAAGGGCCTCCTGGTGGTTTCTATCACTTAGGTAAGACGGTTTTGCTCCCCAGACCAAGTATTCTGAGACACCATTAGGGACAATAACCTACAAATCATGCTAGCCAAAAAAAAAAAAAAAGAAAAAAGAAAAAAGAAAAAAGAAAAAAAGCACATCCCCCAAATATCCTAACCCCATACCCCTGAAGAGCAACGTCCGTTTCCAAAGCGCTTCCCCAGCCGTGTCTCAGTCAGCGCCCTGTGAGGTGGGATGAACAAGCTTGGAGAAAAAATGATTAACGAAGGGTGCCCAGCCTCCCCGGGCAGCCCAGGCCTCCAGTGCCAGCAGATGCCCCCTGCCCCCCGCCCAGGGGTTGGGAGCAGGAGCAAGCCCACAGACAGACTGAAGGCACAAGGACTTGGTAGAAAAGAAAACCAGTCACTGTCTCGATTGTTTCCAAACACCAAACATGTAGGTGTTTCCCCCACATCAACTGTTCTCGAACTCTCTGGACACCAACTGGGTGTCCTACCACTCAATTCTGACACTACCTACCCAGAGTCCGCGCACACCCCATAGGCTACAGGCTATCCCACGGGAGTCCCCGCATTTCAGATGCCAGTTCCAAGTCCTGGGCTTCCCATACTTTTGACAGACTAGCTAAAATCGAGGGGATACACATCCTCTCCTCAAGTTCAAGAATTTGCTAGAATGGCTCACAGAACACAGCCGAAACAGTATACTTATTATTATCAGTCTATTATAAAGGCTACAATTCAGAGTCAAATGGAAGAGAGGCATAAGGTACAGGGGGAGGGGCGAGGGGTGTGAGTTTCCACATCCTCTCTGGGTATACCACCCTCCCGGCACATAGCTGTGCTCACCAACCCAGAAGCTCCCCTGAATTCCATGGTACGGGGGCGTTTTATGTAGGCAAGGTTGTCTGAATCACTGGCCATTGATGACTGACTCAATTTCCAGCCCCTCTCCCCTCCCTGGTGGTTTGGGGGTGAGGAGTGGGGTAGGGCTCCAAGTTCCTACTAATGATGCCAAGGTCTTTCTGGCAACCAGCCCCCATCCTGAAGCTATCCCCGGGGCCCATCAGGCGTCACCTCATTAGAACATAAGATGCTCCTACTACGCATGAACTCGGGAAACTCTCACGAGTTTTAGGAACAGTGTGCCATGGATCAGGGATAAAACCACCTTTGCATTTAGCACATTACCAACAAGAAGAATGTCAAATTCAGAAACTGTTAAGATTGGAAATGAACTAAACTCCATTAAACAGGGGTGCCTGGGTGGCTCAGTGGGTTAAAGCCTCTGCCTTCGACTCGGGTCATGATCTCAGAGTCCTCGAGCTCTCTGCTCAGCAGGGAGCCTGCCTGCTTCCTCCTTTCTCTCTGGGCCTGCCTCTCTGCCTACTTGCGATCTCTGTCAAATAAATAAATAAAATCTTAATTAAAAAAAAACAACAACACTCCATTAAATAGGCCCTATTTGCTTGTGGGGCTCCTCTGCTGGTCCTTTAGTGGCTTGCGAGAAAAGCAAAGACCATTCCAGGTAAATCCTGAGAGGCCTTCCTGGGGTCCGCAGGCTGCTCCCTCACCTCACCTGCCCACCACACCACCCCAGCACCACCCCAGCCTCGCCACTGCTCGCACAGCGGGGGCCCTGACCTGGGGGACTCCTGCTCCCAAGGCAACACCTCCTCTTAGGGAAACCCTCCCTCCCTAATTCTTCTAGGACAAGCCTCCTTTGTGCCTACAACTACATCTGCTTGTTTTCTCCTCCCCACTGGACTGGGAAGGGGGAGAATGGGGACAGTGCTTTTAAGTGGTGCTGAACGCTGGCTAGGCATTAGAAACTCCAGTGGAACTGCTTAAAAACACGGCTGTCCACGCCCCACCTGCAGCTGAATCTCAAGTCAGGGCTGAGGATCTGCATTTTGACTCCACAGGTGATCGTGGATGACAGAAGCGTTCAGAATCTCTGACCTGGTGTCAGAAGGCAAAGCTCGACTGAACAAACAAGTTCCTATACGGTTTCCCACATCTGTGTCCGGGGGCCCCCCCAGGGCCCTCCTGCGCACTGGGCAACTCAGAGGGCGCTCCAAGTACCTCGCCGTTCCCCCTGACTGGAGGGAGACTGTCCTCCAGCTCCTGTGCCAACCGCAGGAGCACACCCAAGGGACCAGGAAAGGCAACATGGGCCTTCACCTTGTTATCCTTTGACCAGCGGAAACACCCGCTGCAGATCGCCTAAGGCAGTGATGCGCACTCCATTTCTCTTTGAGAAATGGAATATTACTTTAGGATTTAAATACTTTCCAGGGGGTCTACACAAGAACTAGATGGAAGAGAGAGGGAAAGGGTTATTTACAGAATTGGTCAGATTAGGTTTAAGGTAGGGGCCGCCCTACTTGCTGGTCCCTGTCCTGTTTTCTCCTGCACAGGAGTGGGTTTAAAAAAAAAAAAAAAAAAAGGCCAAAAGGAATGGGGTGTTTAGGGAGTTCACTAAGCACAAATAGGGAGAGGGAAATTGGCGCGTGTGCAGACAGCACCCATCCGCCCCCGGAGTGGCCCAGCCTCAGTTTCATGGTCTGCAAGGCCTTGACAATAGTGGGGCTATGCTTCGTAGCATCGCTGATGCCTACAGCTACTTGAGGGGCTGCGGGAATTCGTGGAGGGCACACGAACTTCCTAATAAAATAAAAATTAAAAAAAAAAATTAAACCCATAGGTTTTTTTTAATGCTTTCAGCTCCCTACACCCGTTGATGATGCCCATCGAAGAAATGCAACAGGCTCTCAGTTCACACCAGGAGCTACCACTGAGAGCCCACTCGTAAAATGGGGAAAAGGATTTTAATCAACATTTACTGTCCAGATCCTGACAAAGTCAGGGTTCGCGGAAAGTCCTCCGGATAAAACTGTTCACTTCCCACTCTGAAGCCAGAGGCCTTGGGCTGGGAAATCAAGTCACCAAAAGAGCGCGACAGGAAGACACCTACTCCAGGAGAGGAAGGACCGAGGTCTCCAGGGACACCACACACAACCAGACACCGCCCGGCTGGGAGAGGGCATGGGACGAGCAGAGCATGCCACAGATCATGCGAACGATGCCCCCCGCAGGCCACAGTGTGCAGTCTCCTGGCCCTCGAAGCCCTGATGGGCGCCCCCGCCCTGCGCCCCCTGCCCTCAAGAGTGTTCCCCACCTTCTCCCTTGGCACTTCCACAGTCCAGGGCGCCCTCCCTGGGCAGCTGAACCCGGGACACAACTGCCGCAGAGGCTCTTACTGTGCGGAATCAAAGGATGTGTCTCCAAGGCCACATCTCCTGCAGGGTGAGGAGCCTCTTGCGGGGGGGGGGGGGGGGGGGGCGGGGGCTGCTGCTGCATCTCCTCGCCTGGGGCAACCCTGCACCAGGCAGATGAAAAAAAGGCTCAAAGAGCTTTCGGGTCCTGAGCACCTGCTAAGTGTAGGGATCCTACACCCCCTGTCCCTGCCCCGCCATCCTTCTTTCATCCTCCCAGCTGCGAGAATGAGGCTGTTACACACATTCAACGGACGAGAGGTCCAACCAGATTTGCCCGCATCCAGTTTGAGCACCAATAAACGCAGTACGGGGCAAAAGTGACGACCAGAACTTAAAGAGTTAAAGAGGGGGTGTGCTGTCCCCAGGCTAAGAACAGCTTAGGACTCCCGGGCCATGGCACAGGCTCTGGGGACCAGAGGGGGAGCGCGCACACACCCAGGACGGCCCAGCGTGCCCAATCAGGTCCCAGAACATGGCCCAGGGCCTTGTGCTGGTCTTTTCTCTCTGAGGGGCACAAGAGGGCCATCTGGGGCAGGGAGGGGACGTGGCTGGGGACGCAGGAGCGTGAGGAAGCTACTTCCCGGCAATCTGAGCCATTCAGTTCGCTGGTTCCGCCAACCCCTTCAGCTCCTTTCATGACCAGCTTCAGGGGCTTCAGTGTTCGGGCTTTTAATCATCACTGCTCCTCCTCTTGCACGAAAAGAGGCCTATTCATCCCAGCAGGCAGCAGCACTGGGTACAAGGCAGGCATTAGTCATCAGGAATGTTTCAAATAAACACTCCTGCTAGGAGTGGGTCTCCAAAACAGAGTTCGTGGTGTTCCCCTCCTGCTCCAAGAACTGCTGAGGGCTCCCTAACAAAGCCCAGCCCCTCAGCAGAGCCTCTGGTCTGGCCCCAGCTTCTGCCTGCAGCCTCACCTCCCACTGCACACGCTATCTGACGTTCCCAAAACACATTCTGCACTTGGGGCCTCAGTCAATGTCGGGGAGAGGGGTGGGGGAGGTTTGGAGCGAGGCTCTGCGGTGCCCCACCTGGCCACATGGACACAATGCACCCCCGCCCCGCTTCCAGGGCCCCCACCAGAACCTAGCACTCTCCTCCAGACTCCACCCAGAGCTGGCTCTGGACAGCTGTGTACTCCGAAGGATTCAGGGCCTTGAGGGTGGGGGACCCCGGATTATTATTATAAAGTGGATTTTAATCCACGGGGTCTCTGAGTTAGTTACGTGTGCTGAGGTCATCTTTACAAGGAGAAAACAGTTTAATTCTATTACGGCGAGTTGATCCTGGATTAGGGGCTTCACAGACACAGAGAAACAAGACACCATCCCCTTACCCTGCAAGAAAGTCTTGTGCAGGTGTTTTGTTTTAAATCCTATTTCTATTTCTTCCCCTCCAAGTTACGTAACAATTAATTTTCCTTCTTTTTATTTTAGGTCTACATTTCCTTTGTTTTATTTCAACAAGGAAACAAGCAATGAGTACCAGGACCAGAGCTCTGGCCTGAACTGAAAAGCTGACCAACCCCCTTCCGCACGGCTCCAAGGACTCCCCAGACAGGGCGGCGGGGCCAGAGGAGCTCAACCCCACCACAGTCAACGTCCGAACTTCCCATCAAGGCTGCCTGCCACCTCAGATGAGCCTTCGCTAACTAGGAGGTGGCAGTGGACGACAGACAGCAATCTTCTGAGAACTCAACAAATCAAACCAGACTGGGCGACTCTGCAACCCTGACCAGCAGTACACTTGCAGCTTCAGGAAAAACACCTGACAAGAACAGGCCCACAGGGCGCCTGAGTGGCTCAGTTGGTTAAGCAACTGCCTTCTGCTCAGGTCATGATCCTGGAGTCCCAGGATCCAGTCCCGCATCGGGCTCCCAGCTCCATGCGGAGTCTGCTTCTCCCTGTGACCTTCTCCCCTCTCATTCTCTCTCTCTCTCTCTCTCTCTCTCAAATAAATGAATAAATAAAAATCTTAAAACAAAACAAAACAAAAAACAGGCCCTCACCGCAGCTGATACCCCGTGCTGTCCTGGGGAGACTCATCCATAGGTCTTGGGTCTCCAGAGCCATGCTAGGCCCTAGGAAGGACAGCGTCTCACCTGCTGAGTGATGTGTCACTCAAAACTCTCCGCTTCTCTGTCTTCACATTAATCGCAGAAATCTTTTGACGATTAACTGGGGTAATCATAATGACAACGTAATCATAATGACAACGACCCTTTCTTGACTTACAAGGCACGATGAACACAGAACAGCTACCTAGAGAACAAGCAATTCCGTGACCGGCAGGGAAACGCGTTATTCACACTGCCACAGGTTCTTCTGCTATTTTCCCGAACAGGAAGAAAGTTTTTGGAGATCATCGCTGGTTCTACTTAAATGACCAAGCACAATGTTCTTCCTGGGACCTCTATGCAATGCCATTCCATGGCTCCCAGGAAGGGGAAAGTTCTTCCAGGAAGCATGTTAGATGAAACAGGCTTACTGTAGGAAAGGAAAGCTGTTCACGGAGATCAGCTTAGACCTTTCAGTTGTTTGTTTTTTAAGATTATTTATTTATGGGGCGCCTAGGTGGCTCAGGGGGTTAAAGCCTCTGCCTTCTGGGTCATGATCCCAGAGTCCTGGGATCGAACCCTGCATTGGGCTCTCTGCTCAGTGGGGAGCCTGTTTCCTCCTTTCTCTCTCTGCCTACTTGAGCTCTCTCTCTGTCAAATAAATAAAATCTTAAAAAAAAAAAAGATTATTCATTTGACAGAGAGAGACAGAGACAGCAAGAGAAGGAACACAAGCAGGGGGGAGTAGGGGAGGGAGAAGCAGGCTTCCTGCTGAGCAGGGAGCCCAATGCGGATCTTGATCCCAGGACTCTGGATCATGACCTGAGCCGGAGGCAGACGCTTCACAACAGAACCACCCAGGCGCCCCAACCTTTCAGCTCTTGACTTGGATGTAGTTTTCACTGGCTGTGCAAGTAAAATAAAAATGAAGTTTCCACCAGGTTTAATCCAAACACAGCGCACAGGCCAAACTAGCACGCAGAGTCTCTGCACATTCCTCCCATCCGGTCTCCAGGTAACAGCAAGGCAATATTCTCACATCCTCTCACAGAAAATTCGAATGTCACTTATTTACAATCCTTCAATAATGATGATGAGAGCTAACAACTACTGGACACTTAGAACCATCAGATACTTCTGAAATTCTTTAGATATATTAACTCACTTAGTCCTAACAATCAACTAACAAAATAAACATTATATCTACATTTTATAAATGAGAGTGGTAGGGAATAGTTAGATAACTTGCATAAGATCATATGGAGGAGCGCCTGGGAGGCTCAGTGGGTTAAGCATTTGCCTTTCGCTCAGGTCATGATCTCAGGGTCCTGGGATCAAGATCCGCATTGGGCTCCCAGTTTAGCAGGGTGTCTGCCTGTCGCCCTCTGACCCTCCCCGCTCTTGTGTGTCTCTCAAACAAATTTCACTGTCTCTCAAATAAATCTTAAAAAAAAAAAAAAAATCACATGGAAAGCAAGAGAAGGGAATCCAAACTTCCTAGTTTCACTTTCCAGGGCGAGGTACCTACTGGCCCCCATCAGGGGAGGGGCTTAGGCTTCTACCCCTTTAAAGGAAAGATCCACGATAACTGCCATCATTTCCTTAACACTTACTACCTGGTACAAACTTTAAATTATATATTTTGGGGGCGCCTGGGTGGCTCAGTCAGTTAAGCAGCTGCCTTTGGCTCAGGTCATGACCCCAGGGTCCTGGGATGGAGCCCAGCATTGAGAGGTCGCATTGAGAGGTGGGGGAGGGGAGGTCCCTGCTCTGTGGGGAGCCTGCTTCTCCCTCTCCCTCTGCCTGCCACTCTGCCTACCTGAGCTCTGTCAAATAAAATCTTAAAAAAAAGATCTAAAATAAATCATAAAATACACATTTTTATATTCTCATACTTCATCTCCTCAACTACCTGCCAGGAACCACTACTACAAATGAGGAAATGGCCCGGCTCAGAAGGCATATTGCCAGGGAGGCACAAAACCCAACAACAGGCCCACCAGGGAACCTCGTCTGCCTGGTTGCAGAGTCCCCATTCATTCCACAGATCCCCACCCAACGCCCAACATCAGACTCTGGACACACGGGAGCCAAGAAACTACAGACCCAACAGACAGTACAGACAGCCTGCAGCTGGGAACCCAGGGGAGTGACCGCAGAAAGAGCACGTCCTGGGAAGCTGGTTCATTCAGCCACCGAGCAGCAAACCTATGAAACCCAGACAGACTCAGAAGTGGCCAGAAGACGCAGCACCAACTGAACACCAGTTATTAGAGGGGAGACCTAGGAAAGAACTACTCACGGAGAATGGCTGAGCAAATTAATGCTTCCCGTGTGCCTGTTATGAACCAGAAGCCAGGTGAAGCGGGGGCTGGTGAAGTATGCGGCAGCAGGCAGGTGCAGTGGATATGTGGGGTTGGGGGCTGCGGGGGGCTGGATACATTCCAGTTAGCAACAGAAAGTATCTATTTTCTAGCCACCCCCCTCCCCCCCGGCACTGGGGATGTATTAGTCAACATCTGCGAAGTGAATGAGGTCTGAGAAAACTATCTAACATCTCTACAGCCTGCTTACGAAGACACCTGAACTAGTGCAACGCGCGCTGGAGTACTGGCCGCCTTCACACTTCTGCATACACGTGAACCAGAGCTCATAAAGGCTGCAAATGACAAATAGTATTTAAAGGTCCAGAGGAAATCTGGGGCACATCACCGCAAATCATCTCCTCACTCAGATCCAGAAGAGTCTTCTCCGACCCCTGGGAGCTACAACCATCAATGACCTCTAACCTCCACCCCCGCCTGTTTGGGTTTGGTTTTGTTCTGCCCCAGCCTCTGAGGCCAACTCAGCCAGCTCCTAAACGGCACCCAGCCCCCACTCTCAGCACCTGGTGGCCTCGGGCAAGTCACTCACTCTACTTTTCCCGGCCTCAAGCTCTCCGTCTGCAAAATGGGGAAAATACCAGCATCTGGCCGGTACCGTTACGAAAAGAGCAGATGGACCATGAGCTACGTGAAAGCGCTTGGAGAACTTGAAACGCCGCGCAACGGAGGCGTGTTGAGAGGCGGCGGCGGGGCGGGGAAGCGCACGCAGGATCTGAAGTTAAGGTCTGGGTCTCAGCTTCGGCGGTAACAGAGTCTGAGCAAGTCACTTCCCCGCTAAACTTCACTCGTCCTAACTCTAAGGCCGGCGGAGATCCGGGAGCAGCGAGACCCGAGCGCCTCAGTCTTCGCAGGGGAGAGGGCTGCGCTGGGGAGACCTTCTGGACCCCTCCCCCCGGGGGCCAACCCCTCCCCCCGCCCGGGCCGCTCCCACGAATGGGGAGCCCCAGCCTCGCCGCCGCCGCCGCCGCCGCCGCCGCCAGCGGCCTCGCCGTTCTCCCCCGAGCGACGGCGCTTCCAACCACTGTGGACCGCCGAGCGGCCGGGCCCGCGGCGGCGGCCGGGCAGGGCCAATGAGGAGCGCGGCTGCGGCAGGGGGCGGGCGCAGACGGCGCTCCGCGTCGCTCCCGGGCCGCTCCCTCCCGGCCCCGAGCCCCGCTAGGCTACTGGCCCTGAGCACCGGAGGGAGAAAAGGCCACTCACCGCCCCTTCGTCGCAGCCCCGCGCTTCCGGATGAGCTCGTCCAGGGAGATGTCCGCCATCTTGCACCGCCGAGCGACCCGCGAGCAGCTTAGACTCCCTCGGCCCTCGAGCCCGCCCCTTCGGCCGCTACGGAGCAACTAGCTGCTTCCGGCGTACGGCGGATGAACTCTCGCGACAGCTCACACCGGGCAAAAACCGGAAGGGGCGGGGAACTTCCGTGAGCCTTTGCGACACCAGCTGATTATCTGCATACCGTAGTCGGAGTCCCTACCGCTGGTGGTTCTCCCCGGCGAACAAATAAAATGGAAAGGGACAGAAACAATGAACTAAATGAATAAGATAAACTGGAAAGGAACTGGGCTCTTCGTTCAATGGTGCACTCTGAGGCTCACCGTAGGGCTAATGAGAATGGAATTCGTTACCCAGCGAGTAACACGTGTGCGACTTTATGCCTTAAACTTATGAGTAAGGAAAATAACGATTCGGGGTGACGCCCGAATCCTCACTGCTAATGTGAGACGAATTTTTGAGCGGGTAAAGGTTGCCCCTAAGGTGACCCGCCTACTTTGCGGGATGCCTGGGTGATGCGATCTGCCCGTCCCCCCTTTTAATATTGAAAAAGCAGAGAGGTCGGAGCAGCTTGGTGTTCGGTAACTTGTAGTTTTGTTGGGGTTTTTTGGCGGCGCAAGACGTCTGCGATTTCCTTGTGGGGCCCGCGGCTGCTTGTCCCAACACCTAGCGTTTTCCTGCTCTTCTCAACTTATGCGCGCGTTTCATTTTTGATCAGGCAAGATCCGTTTTCACGCACGGTTCATGAACCTTAGATTGGCCGTTTTCCCCAGTTCTCTGAAGCTGCCTGGTGTCTGGCCAGCTGTTTATTTGCGGGGGGGCCCGCGGCACCCAGTAGGTGCTCACTTTGTGGCTCATGAGGTGAGACGTCCCGTCCCAGGAGCTGCCCTTCTCGGCGGCAGCACTTTCCCGAGCGAATCGTCTCACCTCTCTGCGCTTCGGTCTTCCCGATCTACACAGCGGGGCAGATGACAGGCCGCTGCGAGGGTTAAACGGGCCGATCGTTAAAACCTTCCAGACGCAGAAGCCTTTTCCACGACGCAGCCCCAGGACCCCAGCAACAAGCTCGGCACGAGCTAGGTGTTCAATACATGTCTGTTGCATCAATCGGTTGAAAAAAAAAAAAAAAAATACACGCAACGTCTTTAGAACAACAAAGAGCATATACTGTACTCTGTCGAGTTGTTATTTATTTCTAAGTGCACCGATGCCAGGGGCGTTCATGTACTGTTGACAGAACACACATAAAACTCGCATCGGGAGCTCTGTGGGCAAGAGGTGGTCAAGCCAGCGGGTCGGGGTTGGGCACCAGTCGGAGGAAGGGAAGCCAAGTCCCTCCTGCGCCGCCGCCGCGATCGGGTGCTGGCTGGCCCTCCTCTTCTCAGCTGTACAAGGGGCCGCTAATCCCTCCCTCGGTCCTCACTTCCTCCCTGGAAGTGCGGGGTGGGGGACGCTGGGACTGCAACCCTCCCCGTGCTGGACCGAGGAGCGCAGGTGCAGAGGAACAAGGGAGGGGGTGGAGGACCGCAGGATTTAAGTCCCTGTCACCCCTTATGTGAACTGTAATAAAGTGACTTAAAGGTTATTTTTAAAGCCAGTTCAGTAAGGTCGTTAACTGACATCAGCTGCCAGCCGAGTGGCCCTGCCCTGGAGGCATGTCGGAGGGTGTAAAGTTTTGCAGGGTGGTGTCTGGTTATCTGAAGGACAGGGATCCGGAATCTGGTCAGGTGGAGGTTGGGGGACTGGGGACGAGCAGTCCCCAAGCGGGGGCCCTCCAATGCCTGCGCCTGAGACATTCCAGGCCTGGGACGATCCAGGAGGAAAGAGACCCATTACAGTTCTCCCAGGCGGGGCTTCGTTTCTCGTATGGACACGGGGGCGGTTTTGCCAGATGTAAACATACAAGGAATGGCCAGGAGCACAGCTGCGCCATAGCTGAAGGGATCTGGTCCTGCTTTCTTTGGAAATAGACCAAGAATCGTGCCCCACTTGGGAAAACCACCTGCTTCCCCGCAGAGACTGGGCATCTGGCTGCATTCGGGGCTGTGAGGCAAACCCCTAGCCACCCCCCTTCTGGGGGACTTGGGGCAGTATTTACACCCTGCAATGGACATCATTTTATAAATTCCTTTCCTTTCTTGCTCTTTTATAATATAGTTGGAGCTTTGTGTTGATTTTTTGTTTAAAGATTTGTTTATTTGAGAGAGAGAGAGAGCAGGGGGAGGGCCCGAGGGAGAGGAACCCAAGCAGACTGCCCTGAGCATGAAGCCAGACCCGGGGCTTAATCTCACAACCCTGAGATCAGACCTGAACCAAAACCAAGAATCAGGGGCTTAACCAACTGTGCCACTTAGGCGCCCTGATTTTTAAAAATTCTCTGTGTGGGCTGGCGATGTTACCTGTGAATCCACTTCAGGATACTAAAGAGGCAGTTATAAATATTATTTTAAAAGGATGTCAGGTCTGAAAGGGTGGCAAGTCATGAGACTAGGAGAGAGGGTAGGGACCAGGTCCGATCCCTGCCCTTCTAAGCTCGGGGACAGCCCCTTGCAAGCTCAGACAGGTGTACATTCAAAGCCAGACACGCAAGCCTGTTTTCTCATCCTCTAGGAGGGGACCCAGATGAGGAGACCTAATGTGAGCCCAGTGTTCTGCAGTCCCCAGCACACAGTAGGTGTGAAGGGATTCCCAGGCCAAGCCCTTTCCTGCCCACTGAGGAGTCCCAGCCCTGCTCCGGGATGTGGGCCTGGGCCAGAATGGAAGGTAAGAGGAGAGGAGAAAGGGACTCCCTGGTCTGAGGCTCAGCTTCTTGCACACTTCCCCATCCTCTTCTCTTCCCCAATCCAGCCACGCTGGCCTTCACGATATTCCTGGAGATGTCCAGCAGGTCTCTGCCACAGGGCCTTTGCACTTGCTGGTCACTCCCTCTAGAGCACATCTAGTGTGCTTCAGTTCCAGCCTCATTTCCACTGTCCCCTCAGCGACCTGCTTTCTTCCATCTGTTTCTGGGGAGTGACCAGCAAGTGCAAATGCCCTGGGGAAGGTAATTCCACAAGCTTGTTCCAAACGCAAGGCGTCTGCACTTGCTGTTCCCACTTTGAACACCTACCCCAGCAGGGCCAGCTTCCTTGTCTCTTTAAAAAGAGAGCAGTCCTCACTCCCACGCTGCCCTGTGGCCTGATTTCTGTCTTGGCATTTACCATCTCACAACACCGTCCAGCATCTGTCTTAAATCTTTCTCACGGGCACCCCAGGAGTAGGAGAGGGCGTGCTGGGGCAGCTGCAGCCGAGTCTCTGGCCTTTGGAACAGTGCATGAAGGAACAAGGAAGCTAGCATCCCCCTTGCAGCCTCCCACAGAGAGATTGATGCCTGCCTTACCTTGGGACCCACCTCCAACCTGAAGGCCGTTCTCTCCAGCAGAAACGGAGGCTAGTGATTTCTCCCTGCTTTTCAGGGCTGGCCAGAGGGGAAAACAATGGGGGACATACAGAGTTGTACCACCCAGGGCTGGAGAGAGCTTTTCACACTGCCGAGATGATATGAATGAGGCTGGGCCTGAGGGGGCTGGGCACAAAGGGAGGGTATCAAGGTTGGACTCCCAGTGTCCACATGCCCTGACCCGGCTTTCTGTCTCCAGGAATCCAGCCTCAAAAAAATCATCTGAGGGGCACTTGGCTGGCTCAGTTGGCAGAGCACGCAACTCTTGATCTCAAGTTTGTGAGTTCAAGCCCAACACTGGGTGTGGAGCCTCCTTAAAAAAAAAAATAAAATCAGGGCACCCAGATTTTTACGTTGTTAAGTGTCTGTCTTCCACTCGGGTCATGATCCTGAGGTCCGGGGATCGAGCCTCACTTCGGGCTCCCTGCTTGGCAGGAAGCCTGCTTCTCCCTCTCCCACTCCCCCTGCGTGTGTTCCCTCTCTCACTGTGTCTCTGTCAAATAAATAAGTAAAATCTTTAAAAAATTTTTAAAATCGTCTGAAAAGAGAGTGAAGAGGGCTACCGTTATTTACAAAGTCCACACATTGGAAACAGCCTAACTGTCCAAGGATAGGGGATTTGCTAAAAATAAATCATGATCCACGTGGGCTTATGGAGAATGTGTGAACCCAGCGAAAAGCCCATCTGATGGGGGTGGGGAGCAGCAGGCCGCGATGGGCCATGTGGTTTCATCAGAGCGACCGGCGTCTACCTCTGGATGTCCAGTATTTTCTTCCTATGCATAGTTTTCTGTCCAGCCCAAACCTTACAGGACAAACACCGACACACATTAGAAATAAGCGCTGGGCCCCTTCCTGTCTCTTCTCCCGCTGCCCCCCCAACAATGACACAAATCACAGAGGCTCAGGGAACTGCAGAAGGGTTAGTAGTAGCAAAGTTTTATTTTAACGTTTTTTTCTGCTCATAAATGATTCTGAAAAAGCCCATACGCAAGAGGCGAACCCACCCTTGTCTAAAGGCAACATCGAGGTCACTGAGAATGCTGCTCAGACGAAAGCTCCCCTCTGCCGGGTGCAGGCAGCAGGAGGCGTGGGTCTGGGACAGAGGAATAAATACATGGGTCTTAGCTCTGCCATCAGTGCTGGCGGCCCAGGGCCCAAGGCGGGCCACCGCGCTGCTGGCCTGACAGCTGGGAACGCCCAGAGCTGCCTGAACCCTGAACGCTCCGGTACTCTGGGGAAGATGCGGAGGCTTCCAGAGGGCCCTCGTGCCCACCAGAGGAGCCCTCGGCCAGGCCCTGCCTCCTACTCCAGCCTGCGGGTGGCGGGGGTGCGGGGGGAGGTTAGTGGGGGGTGGTAGGGAGCCTGCCTGGGTCCTGGGGTAGATGTGCAGACTCCCAACCCCATGGCCCCTGCCCAGAGGACTTTTGGGTGTTACCTGTCATGTAGTGTCAGGTGCTGAGGCCTGGCTATGACCCTAAGCAGGTAGTGAGGGTCCCGAGGCAGTGGCTGGGGCATCCCTGGCACCTGCCGCTCGGGGCTGCCTGTACGTTTGTATTTATTTCCAGACTGTGGTCTGCCCTGGGAGGGGTGGGCGGAGAATGGCCCTTGCAGCCTTGGCCTAGTAGTGTGTGGGT